GGACTAGAGTGAGCTTCGAGAGGACAAAACTTGTCTACAGACTTGGCGTATGATAATTACTGAAACCTTTATCATGGTACTGAATTACATAACATAACTTAAGTGTTATCCTCCTAACAGGATTGATATAGCTTATGGCAAAAATAATAAATGTATGAAAACCTAACAAGTCTTTAGTTCATCCAAAAATGTGTCATCATTTACTCACCCTCAAGTTGTTCCAACCTGTATGAATGTATTTCTTCTGCTTCTGAAGAATATGGGTCACCAAACAGTTGATGGACCCCATTGACTACCATGATATTTATATATAAAAAAAAAAAACTATGGACACAAATAGGGTCCCATCTACTGTTTGGTTACCGACATGCTTAAAAATATATTTTTGTGTTCAGCCAGAAAAAAAAGACATTCATACAGGTTCGGAAAAACTTGAGGCTGAGTAAATGATGACATCATTTACATTGGATTTAAACATGGTAAGCATAGTGCTGTAATAGACACCATACATAAAAATCTAAACGGTTGTTTTAAACTGTTCAGAAACAGAAAGTAGCACAGCCTGCTTTATTTACTGGGGTTACCATGGTAAAGGCTGCATTTCTGCTGTCCCATAAGTGCCATTATCCTATATTGAGACATCTACTAGCCTACAGTCAAAAAGGAAATAAACAAAAAAAGCTCAACTCAGAAAATAAGGCGGAAACTCTGATAACATTAGACTGTGTGTGTACACTATCCTCAATTACAACAAAGCTTATCTTACATTTCTTAATAATCACCTCACTATCAAGAAAAAGCATCAAGTGTGGGAAAGAAAGAATCACATTGTTTTCTCAAAGGCATTTGTCATCATCGGATCATGTGTGAAAATAAATGTGCATGTTTAAATGCCTTTGTGGACTGTTTGAAGCTTTTGAAGCGAAACGTGATCTCATAAACTTCGACACTCGCTATTTGTTAACCCAGAGTTCATTACGAGGTAGCATACATAGAGGAAAGCCATGCAGCCCCAGGACATCGCTCAAATCCGAGCTCCATAAACATTGCCATGATAAGCTAAGAATTCTCCGCTGGATCCATTCCCTTTTTGGCACTGATCTCAAGACAGGATTCACAGTTAACGGGCCTGAAAACCAGCGGTTTCTGCGCAATCAGAAAGAATGCAGGAAGACATCATGGACATGTTAGAAACAGCATAGTACAGCTATTTATTTCTTTTGATTTAATTCTTTAAGGAATTCCAGCATATAATTTAAGTTTGCACAGACAAAATACAAGGCTTAAGATATAGTCCCAGATTAAAATCTCTTTTTATTGAAAGCAACTTGCATTGAGCAATCTTAAAATATGTCAGTGCCATTGTCTTGTCTCAAGACGCGTTTTGAAGGCACATTTATAAAAGATACTTATAAGGCCTAATCCTGGCTCAATCTAAGCCCTTTCTATGAAACCAGGCCTAAAACCAGACCAAGACAATACTGGTGCAATGTGGGATTAAGGACTCTTTATATTGACATTTACTATTATATTTAATATTTTTAAATAGGTTTTATTTTTATGTTTTCAGATTTTATTTTAATTAGCTATAGTTTATATTTCAAGTAATTTTGATGTGCTTTTGTAATTATTATACGTCCATTTTAGTTTAATTTGACTTTTTACTTATTTCCAGTTATTTCAAATTTGAAAATTTAACATTTTCATTTAGTATCTAATATTTATTTATTTTTTTTCATGGTTTTGAAAAGGGGTTGGGAAAAGGATTTGTGTGTGTGTGTGTGTGTGTGTGTGTGTGTGTGTGTGTGTGTGTGTGATTATTGACTATGCATTCCATAAAATAATATGTGAAAAGAAGAGCAGGAACTGGGGGAAACAGATTGAGAGAGAGAGAGAGACTGGGGTGGACAAAGAAAAAAGGAAAAGATAGACTGTTGTGAAGTCAAAAAGGGGAGAGAAAAAACTAAAATTATATCCCTGCCTCCCTTTTGGGACCAACATCTGAAAAGTATCCAAAAGCTACATGTTATCCACAGCAAATAGCTGGCATGCTTGAGCGGAGGGGATTGTTTACTCTAGGAAGAACAAGATGGAGCAGCTGATGGGACAATAAAAGAGCAGAGAGAAAAACAGAAAATAAAGATGAAAAGATAGCCTATATGTGACAGAAACGATCTTGACAGAACAGACAAACATACACTTTCCAAATTCTATCAGTCAGTCAATGGCATCTGGAAATTGCTGCTTCGGAATCGTAATCCATGATGACTTTAACTCCCAACACCCTCCCAAATGGCTTTTTCACATATCCATCTCTAAATTCTAACAGCAGCAACAGTGGTTTTGAATGGACCAGAATGTTATTCCGGGCTATTTTCCCTCTCAATGCATGAGAGAACTGCTCTGAATCACAATCAATTTCCCACTGATGCTCATTCATAGCTCTTGGATACAAACTGCCAGACTTTCATTGATCTACTGATCTGCTTACATCAACACTGCTCTGGGTTATGAATTATTCTGACCCAATTGGTGACATCAAAACTAAAGCCATAGACTTTGATCACAGTCCTTTTTAGAGTTTATGCAATGCCTGCTGAAACATCTTCAAGGGACTTTTTAAATTTAAATTTGAAACTGTAAGACTTTATATAGTTACATTTCCTGCACAATACATGCTTTGATAAAAACATGAGGATAAAATGGAATTGTGTGAAATCTGAGTGACTTTTAAAATCCTCCCCCGACTACTTTTCCTATTAAATAAGAAAAAAGTTCCTATAATGTAATGCTATGACAGAGTTTTAAAAGTAGTATAAAGCCAGGTGCACACTGTGCGATTTATAATAGTCCTTTATGATTGTTCCTTGTCAGATTGCACAAACATGATCCCCGATGTAATCCACGTCACACTGTAAGATCACAGTTGTCATTGATGTAAGACTGTACAACAGTCACGACACATTAAAACACGCTGAATTGAAATTGTAGTTGTAAAGAAGTCTCTAATGTAAATTTTGGCCTTGGCTCATCTTAAAAAACTAATTCTTTTTGGAGTAATTAAGATTTGACGGTTGTCGTCGTAGAAGGACAAGCCACAATGCAGGACTGTGAGTCAGATCTTCTGACACTGCCCGAATTTTGTTTGAGGTAAAATTTGATCGCAGCGGTCATTAATCGGCTGTCGCTGATTCTGAAGATGTCAAACTAACTTCAGATTTTAGCCTAGGATCAGAAGAAGATGGCCAAATAGTGACCAAAATCGTACAGTGTGTTCGACTTGAAGAGGCGCTGTGCAGACAGATCGGTGAATGACATCAAAGTACGGCAAGTGCGATCAGTTTTCAAATCGCTCTCACAGTACTTTGATGTCATACGTTAATAGACATCTGTCTGCACAATGCATTCTCATCCTAGGACGTCATATAGACCATTTCACAAGATGTAAACAACACTGGCCCAGAAGCACTTCCTGTTTCAGTTTTTTAACACTACATAAAAGCTGGGATAAAATACAACCAACAAAACATTTAAAACTGAATCAAAAAGTTAAACAAACATCTTTAAGATGTTTTCTTTACATGTGAAATAAAGAAAACAGTTACAAACTGAAACAGGAAGTGCTTCTGGACCAGTGTTGTTTACATCTTGTGAAATGGTCTATAGTGATGCTTTTGACAATGCGTATACATCCAACGCACATGGCACCCTTTAGCGTCAATATAACGCTTCGGTTATGGGTAGGTTTATGTCTGTGGTAGGGTTAGGGTTAGACCACTAGGAGGCGCCTTCTGGCCCATATATCTGCATCTCATATTGACGCTAAAGTGTGCCATGTGCGTTGGATTTATATACATTGTCAAAAGTGTCAGTATATGACACCTTGGGATGAGAACGGGCTGGTCTGCAGTGTTGCTTCAAGTCGAACACAGCTATAGACATGTTGACAGCAAGGGGGTAATCCATCGACCGAAAGTTGAAGCCGGCTGGGTGCCGCCATCTTGTAGCACAACTTCACTTGAGTTAGCATTTCCACTGACTCCCATTCATTTTGGCGTCACTTTTATAGCGAATAACTTTACATCTGAGGCGTTTGAAGACTCCATTTTTCCATTATTTGTTTCTAAAGAAACACGACAATGTATAAAATGCTCCATTGCCTTGTAGCTTATGTTATGGGCCTGTAGAAGCCGTTTTTTGTAAAAGTAGGCTAACGATTGCGTCATAACCATGCAACTCTCTGTCGTACAGTAGAGAGATTACCGTATGGACAGGAGGAGAAGCTTGCAGGAATCGGGGAAACGTGGAGGCAAAATGACAAAATAATTAATCAGAATACCTATAGCATACCTTTCTCCTGCTCCTAGCTCATGGACAGCTCCTATTCACACTCTCTGCCTCTGCAAGTTTCGGAAGGGAATGATTCAGATTTCTCATGCCACAGCCACTAGAAGACAGACGGGTTGCTCACGTCACATCTACGTCGTCAAGCTCTGTTTGAGTCTGTGCGTCAGGAACGGAAAGTCCTAAAAAATCTCAAAAAATGAGCTTCACTTGTCTCAATTGAGTTCCAATGAGATGGCTCTGTCCACTTCTTATGTCTATGGTTGACAGGGCTTGTCATGTGATTTCAAAATGGCTGCACCCATGAGGGGGTACCACTCCATGTAGAATAAAAAAAGCTTTACCCAGTCTAATATGTCTGGAATCTTTGCCTCATTTAATTGAACATAATTTTAATGACAGTATCCCAATGTGTTATTCTTTTTTTAGCAAATAAATACACAAATAAATAGCCTACAGCTTACAAAACTTAAATTAATCCTTCGCTTCTAAATGCGATAAGCAATTTATTAAGCAATAAAGCAGTTTTTTCGACTACCCGAGAGATCTACAGTCGTGGCATTGAACACATTGGGAACATGGAACTTGTCCAAGAAGTCTCCGAAATGCCCGCCCCTGATTCTGCCCAGACTGACACACACAGAGCTTCACACTGACCGCTGCCTCTCACACAGAACACTGTTGGCTACTCAAGAGAAAAGTTTCATGGCTGGATCTTACCTTTTGTTGAGATAAAACTCATTATTGCTTTTTGGGTCATGATAAACTTGCATTCATCAACCCTCAAGGTGAGTTGTTTTGACTTAATTTACTCAACTGTCAGATTAACGACAGATAATTTTTGCCTCAACACATTTAAGATCAAACCCTCTATCAAACTAAATTCGCGTTTCTTTAGTGCGTACTATTAACAGCCAACCAGTGTTAATTTGGTCAGTAAGGCTGTACAGACTTGTCGCGTGTGATTGTGTGCATGACGGAGGAAACCTAATCTTTGCTGCTGTAAAATTAGTATGCGCGCGCCACTGCATACTTACAGTTCATGCCCCTTATGAGCGGCAGTCAAATGACGATTTGAATTCTTTATGATGAATTAAGTTTAACATACTTTAGATAATGAACTTGATTCAAAACAGTTGGTTTTGGTAACTGATCATGCACTCTTTTGCTACTTTTATATGTTCCCTCAGGATGAGTAAACTAGAATGACATTTCTGTGAAGCAATAAAATCCAAAGTTCACCAATGATTAGATCAATGGACTGTAGTGAAAACTGCTTCAGCAACATTTCAGTACAACATTGATCTGTCCTTGTCCAATGTTTAGTTAATGTTCAGATGAAAATGAAAAACTGTCAACTAGTTTATCATTGTGCTTCTACCTTTTTGGATTTGTTTAGATTAGTAAATCATTTTGTAGATTTATTAACAAATTAAAGTTAAAGAAGTGTAAATAAGATATTAAAAACAATACAGATGTGAGTAAAACTGAGCTAGTTGCTGAATATTTTTTTCACATAAAACCATCATGGTATTTTCCATCATGGACTCACTCTGCCAGACGGTCATGCAGAGTGCTTTGAGTAAAAATAGGGAATGTTCAGATGATGAAATGAGTGTATTTGTAATCATGATTTACGCCTAGTGGGTCCTTTTTTTCTTTAGACAACATGAGATACCAGAAAAAAGTGGAGGTCATTGGGTGAAAAGGAAAAATGAGGCCTTATCTTGAATGTTTGTTCACCTAGTTCGCTAAGTTATAGTGTAGCCTAGCTGATCAAGATTTAGTTTTGGGCAAAGGGAGAATGATGTTAAGAAACCCCACTTGAACCATTTTTTTAGTTAAAAAAACCCCCAAATGTTCAGTCAGTTTGACTGATGTTCAAATCACTTATTTTTAATGACGACCTATGAATCTGCAGTGGACGGCTGCAAAAATGAAATGCTGTTAAGATCAGACAGATCAACTTTAATGCCCACATGAAAGAAGGCAGACGGTCCCACAGAAAGAAAGAAGAGGAAAAACCCTAAACATGTTTCCAATCTGGGATGTGGGTACTGTGCTGGATGTCTGTAATAGACAGAGATGTTTCCCCCAGGAATGCATTCACACACACGGGTTCCATTAGACTGCGGTTTACTGGTTGATGTGTGTATCTCCTTCTCTGAAACAATGCACAGCCATTTCCACAGACATAATTGCATTGTTTGCATCCACTAGAAACGGCTGCAAGAATTATGTGACAGTGTGTTTTGGTTTATTGCCGTTTGTCATGTCAAGAGTCAGCAGCAGCCCTGCTGAGTGTCAGTGTACGAGTTTGTTATGTTATGTTTAGCACATTACATGATAAATGCCAAAACCATTCCCATTTCTCAGAAGATGTTGGGGGGAACAAAATTATGTTTGGGGACCATGTTGTATTAATAAATTCATTTTAGACCATAGATCAGACAGATGTGATTTCATGTTTGACACAATGTTGACCTAATACTTGAATATGACTACTTCGAAACACAAATTTTATTTTATTTATATACAAAGGTTTGGACAATTAAGTTTTTATTTTATCATCGTTAAGTTTTAAGTCTCACCTAGGCTGAATTTATTTGACCGAAATACATTAAAAACAGTTATATTGTGAAATATTATTACATTTAAAATAACTGATTTCTATTTTAATATATATTTTTTTTATATTTTAATATTTTAATAAAATGTAATTTATTCCCGTGATGGCAAAGCTGAATTTCCAGCATCATTACTCCAGTCTTCAGTCTCAAAAATCATTAATATGTTAATACGTCGTCAAACTTTTGACTGGTAGTGTAATAGGCTATTATTTAATACTAGGCCTAATACAGACACAGTAATATAAATAATAATATAAAAATAAACACTGATATATATATATATATATATATATACACACACACTAGGTCATTTCCTAGGTCATTTTCATAAATACTGTACCTAGCAAATAAAGCAAAATCATGATAAATAAATAAATCACTAAAATAATCAAGACTTTTGGACTTTTGGTCTGTTTTGATCCTGATCTGTGTTACATATCCACCTGTTTCCCTCTCTCATACAGGACGTTTGTTGATTTTACAAGATTTTTCAAACCGGGACGTCTTGAGTGGACTAAAGCCAGCAGAGGGGGATTCAGGGTGAAGGAAGGGAAGAGGGATTAGGGGCTAATCCTGGACATGACCAATCCTCAAGGAGCCTCCGTCAAGCAGCCCTATTGCCCAGATTATTACATTTAATTTATTGCCTTTTAAAGACTCTTTATCTCCCCTGGGGGATTCCTGGCGAGCGGGCCGCTGGATTTGAGTATCTTTAAAAACAAAGGATCAGGAGCAGCAGCCGTTGGAGGAGCATGAGGAGAGTATACATGCAGGGATAAAGCAACAAGCCTCCCTGCCGTCTCACACTCCAGCATGGTGCAGGTCAAGGGTCACTGAATGAACTTGGATTGGGAAAGTATGCGGTCACATTGATGACACAAAACTGATTAAGGTATGTGGCTTCTGTATGTTTTCATGTTTTGTAGTGTTTCTCCCAAAACCAAACAGCATATGATTAGATGTTTAACCTGACACTAATCAGGTAAAGGGTTTGGCTAAATGACTTTAGTTGCAATTTAGTGTGAAATGTGCAACACAGCAAAGCTTGTCATGTAGTGAGACATGAGACTTTACTCCTTTTAAAAATGATTACTTTAACCACAGTCAAGCACAAATAAAAAGTCTGAGCTGACCCCAAAGCTAAATTAGATCAAATAAACTACTAACAAACTCAGACTAACTGTGGGTGGCCCAGTTTTATAAAAAAATTAAAATAAATAAAAAATAAATAAATAATATATATATATATATATATATATATATCTTCTTTTTTTCTTTTCTTTTTTTATAAATTAAATAATTATTTATAGGGCTGTGAAACGAGATTAATCGCATCCAAAATAAAAGTTTGTGTTTACATAATATATGTGGGTGCACTGTGTATAATTATTTTGTATATATATAACTACACACACATGCATGTATATTTAAAAAAAATATTATTTATTTATAAAATATTTATATATAATATAATTATATATAAATTTATATACAGTATATATATGAAAATATTTCTTAAATATATACAAGCATGTGTGTATTTATATACAAAAACAAAATAATTATACACAGTGCACCCACATATATTATGTAAACACAAACTTTTATTTTGGATGCGATTAATCGTTTGACAGCCCTAATTATTTATTTATTTATTTATTTTTTTTATGGCTTAAATATTAATTAAAAATGTTTTTATCTATTAACTGAATACCACACATTTAGGTTAGTTTTTTTATATGAAAAAAATGAGAGAAAGTATATTTTAATAGATATTTGAGCTTCTTTTTTCCAACTTCATGCCATTGTGAAATCTACACAGTAAAGTGTCTCTTTGCTTTTACAATCTGAGACTGGGAAAATGCTCTGGTAAATAGACACTTTTGTAACAGGATACCCTTAAAGTGAATGACCGAAATACTGTACAGTGCAAGTGAATGACTGAGGAGTCAAAGCTGAATTTAGGCCTTTAAAGAGTACTACACTCAATAATGAAATAAAAGACTCATTCAAATTGATTCAAGAAAAAGATGTACTGAACGCACAATTTTCACAGCTAAAGTTGATAATTAAAGTTGCATTTCTGTGCCAATATCTCATACCACAGACATGGCATCAGTTTCTTTTTAGGAACTGAACTGTGATATTGTTAACTTTTGCATCTCCCAGTCAGAGCATGTAGCAGCAGATTCTCTGGACCTTACTAAAGAAGGAGCTCATGGTTTCAGTCCTAAACCACAGAGATATCTGCAGCCAGAGCTGAATTTATTTCTGAACTGATTTTTTTTCAGAAGCACAAACCCAGAACAACTGTGAAGCCCAGAATCTTTGACCACATATGCAGCAGAGGTTTTCAGGAATTGGAGTCATGCATATTTTCAGCTCGCATTTATCTTCACCGAATCTTTCTGGATATGAACAAAGACTGATGGCCAAAATGGGACATAGCTGAATGTGTCTGCCTTTTGAGAAACTGTGAAAAGAAACTTTCCACTCAACTGCGGGTTTTATTCTGCTGAGATATTTTGAAGCTTGAACTGTGAGACGTGTATAATTTGCTTTCTTGCGTTGTTCTCGCCATTTTTTGAAAAAGGTTTTTTTTTTTTTTTCTCCCTTTCTACCGGCTCTGGAAATTTATACTTGGAGAAGCCATGAACCTGGGTAAGTTGTCTGGCCTGAAGGGCCTGGTTTCCCACTCCTCAGGAAAGCGTCGTTTTAAAGGTGACCTCACCCCGGACATGATCAGTCCCCCATTGGGCGACTTCCGCCACACAATGCACGTGGGCCGCGGAGGGGACGTGTTCGGGGACACCTCGTTCCTCAGCAATCACGGCGGAGCAGGAAATAATGCAGATGGAGACTCCTCCTCCACCTCAGAGAAGAATGAGGGATTCTTCTCCCGCACGTTTCGCCATGTCCGCAAGACCCCCGACAGGCCCCGCGGCGGATCCAAGGACCTTTCACCCCCACCTCCACCAGTTTCTCCAATCATAAAGAATGCCATTTCCCTCCCCCGGCTGGACGTGGACTCACCCAACGGCTGTCCTGTCAAAGTGCTTTTCCCTAGTTCACCAAAAACACCTGAGAACTCCACATGCTTATATGGTGAGTCTGTCAGTGTTCACACTCAGAATCAGATTCAAATTCAGAAGTGAATCCCATTAACTCTGTGTGTGTACAGAATACAGAAGCCGCACCTGAAATGGTCGAACATGCAGGGCTGATCGCACAATGAAGGAATTTTAAAATTGAGATATCTAGGCTTAGAATGAAAATGAATGAAAAAATTAGTGGTTTTACTCTCAGAAATTGCTGTTTTGGAGTAACTTGTCAGCATGAAACATTGTGTCCATTGCGAGTCTTATAGGAAAAAAAGTAATTTAAATGTGTCAATTTAAAAGATTGGCACCATGCATACATATGAAAATTTTCTGTGAATGTGTTTCCAGACATATTCAGTAATCATGAACAAATAATCATGGGAAATGTCATGTAAATGTATTTGTTAAAGGTGCATGGCGGTAAACCTGTACAGGGGAGAGAGACCATATCAAAATTCACTTTTTTTTGTAGCACCACAGCTCAGACAAATGATCTAAAAGCGTCTAAAAGGATAGGGATTTCAGGGATTTTAGGGATTTCATTAATTTATAAGTTATTAATTTATAAGTTAATTTATGGACATAATAAGTTCAGTTCTGTGTAATGTAAATAAAGTTTGAATGTGCAGTTTTTGTGAGCAAATTCTGTTGTAGAAATCTATTAATAAAATAAATTATTATTAATTAAATGTGTCTCAGAATAGGATTAGGACAACCATATTTAGCAGTGTGCTAATGTTCAAACATCAAACAAAAGTGACTGTACACACTTATATTAAAGGAGTAGTTCACTTTTAAAAAACTTTTGCTCATAATTTACTCATCCTCATGTCATCCAAGATATCCACATCTTTCTTTCTTCAGTCGAAAAGAAACTAAGGTTTTTGATGAAAACATTCCAGGATTTTCTCAATATAATGGACTTTATTGGGAACCAAATGGTTCAAGGTCCAAAAGACAGTTTCAGTGCAAACTGTTCAAAGGACTTTAAACGATTCCAATTCAATTCCGAGTCAATTCGTTCATTTCGTTCGTTGAATGAACCAAATACCTCAAAAAAAGATTCGTTCATTTTGATGAACGAGTTCGAACAGCAGAGTCACGAACGTGCATCACAGAACAGAGCAAGGCGAGCATTTGAGCTTATAAAACTTCAACTTTGTTATTTTTTTTTTAAATGAGCGATCGTTTCGCTTGATAAGACCCTTATTCATCGTCTGGAATCGTTTAAAGCCCTTTGAACAGTTTGAACTGAAACTGTCTTTCAGACCTTGAACCGTTTGGTTCCCAGTAAAGTGCATTATATGGAGAAAAATCCTGGAATGTTTTCATCAAAAACCTTAATTTCTTTTCAACTGACGAAAGAAAGACATGGACATCTTGGATGACATGAGGATGAGTAAATTATCAATTCTTTTTTAAAAGTGAACTACTGCTTTAAGATTTCTATTTCACACAAATGCTCTTTTTTCATATTCTATTCATCAAAGAATCCTGAAAAATGATCCATAGCAGGTTCCACAAAAATTTTAAGTTTAACTTATTTCAACATTGACAATAAAAAGAAATCAGCATATTAGAGTGATTTCTGAAGGATCATGTGACACTGAAGACTGGAGTAATGAGGCTGTAAATTCAGCTTTGCCATCGCAGAAATAAGTTACAGTTTAAAACAGAAAATAGTCATTTTAATTGTTATAATTTCAACAAATTTACTGTTTTTATGGGTGAATCAAATACATTCAGGCTTGTTGAGCTTATAAAAGAGACTTCTTAACGGAAATCTCACCGACCCCAAACGTTTGAACGGTAGTGTGTCTCATGCATGTTTTGTCTAAATGAAATCTGTTTGTTTACAAGCTTTCTGTCCTTCAGGGAAACATGAGGTAGATCAAACAGAAAGTATTTGATAAACCATAAACACCTGTGGCAATCCCAGACTCCTTTTCAGACCCAGACATTACAGTTCAGCGATCAGCGTCTGCCTCACCCATTCAAATACCTCAAACATGCATCACTGGCTTCTCTGCAGGAGAGCCTGTTCAAAAACAAAACCCCATGCATGCTCACGAACACACACCCAAACAGTCTGATGTTTATCCTTAGTTTAATTATCCATATGTGACCCTGGACCACAAAACCAGTCACAAGTCGTACGGGTATATTTGTGGCAATAGCCAACAATAGGTTTAATGGGTCAAAATTATCGATTTTTCTGTTATGCCAAAAATTTTCAGGAAATTAAGTAAAGATCATGTTCCATGAAGATATTTAGTAAATTTCTTACCATAAATATATATTTTTGTGAGTGAATGCAGCACATTCGCGAACATAAACGGACTACTTTAAAGGCGGTTTTCTCAATGTTTATATTTTTTTGCACCCTCAGAATCCAGATTTTCAAATAGTTGTATCTCGGCCAGATATTGTCCTATCCTAGCAAACCATACATCAATGGAAAGCTTTTTTAATGCATTGACCCATGTTTTGTGGTCCAGGGTCACATTTAAGGAAATTATTAGCATGCAAACAAAGTGTTTAATTCAGCTTACTGGATGACTCGCCATCGGTCTGAACGCTAATGTTGTTCTGACCTGGAGCTATGAATGAGATGTTTTAGTGCTGAGCACACATCCCGTTTCAGAGCCCTGTTTTCAATCAAAAGACTTTTTTTGTATCCATATAATGTACAACTATCCTGTAGTTTGTAATTTCTGCCCTTTCTGTGACAAGTACACACTTTAGCAAAGCTTTTTGTTAGAGATAAATCATTAAGGGACAGTTCACCTAAAATTTTTAATTCTGTTATAATTTTCTAACATCCTCATATCATTCCAAAAATGTATAAATTTGTTCTGTGGAATGATTTTTTTAATCCATACAATGCAAGTCAATGTGATTCAAAAATCCTAACATTTGGACCCCATTGACTTCCATTGTATTCACAAAGACACTTTTCATAGTAAATGTAAATGTAACATGATGACAAAATGTTCGATCTCTTTAAGGGTATCTAGTCCAACCACATGGCAGAAATGATTTGATTTACTAGTTTTTGCAGTCCGGAACCACCAAATGTAATGTGTTTTCACTGCCCTCTGTTGGTCAAACTCATAATCAAAAACAATTTTGTCTTTTTTTCATTGTTTCGAAGGATTGGAGTCTGGCTTTGTGACCTTGCCGAGACTGTCACGCACTGAGCGTCCAGCCCAGGGCAGCTCTCCCTCAGCTTGCCCTCCTGAAATCCACAGAGGCTCGCTCACAGACATGGGTATCCCGTCCTTTCCCTGTTCAGACTCCGTCAGTCCTTCTGACTCCATGAACTCTTTCACCCTGGATCTGGGCCCTTCCCTCATGTCTGAAGTCTTTGCTATGATTGACAGCCCTATGTGTGAAATGGCCAGTCCCATCAGTGAAAAGACACCGTCCACCGATGAAAACTCGGAGGTGGACTCGGACGCAACCATGTCCTTGGTGGACTCACTCCTGAGAGAAGATGATGACGGTAGGACGCGGTTGTATGGAGGAGAGTGGAAACATTCAGACTTTGTTAACGGCGAGTCACTCAAAAGGTCCGTGCAGGGGGATCGGATGCACTCCTTCTCTGTTGAGGATCACGGCATGGAGCCGGAGAGTTTCCAGAGGGCCGCTGATGTGCTGGCACGTCATTACGGGAGCGGGAGACTCAGGAATACAAACACCAACAACTCTCACAGGAGAGAAGCATACAACTATGCTGATGAGGAGGATGAGATTAAAGTCTAACACAAATCGCACAGCACTTTTAAAGGGCTAGTTCATCCAAAAAATAAAAATTCGGTCATTATGTTTGTTCCAAAACTGCACGACTTCCTTTCTTCTGTGGAACTCGAAAGAAGATATTTTGAAGAATGTCAGTAAGGTCAGTTGGGTTCAATGTTTGGTACCCTATGTTCTTCAAATTATCTTTGTTCAGCAGAAAAAGGTTCTGGAAGATTTGGAATGACATGCGAGTGAGTAAATAATAACAGAATTTTATTTTTCGGGTGGAGTACCGCTTTAATAACAATCAAAGAATAGAGTTGAAATAATGAGATATGACTCAAGAAGACTTCAGAAGTCAAATGGACTATTGTTAAAGCTACACTGTGTGATTTTTACCCCCATCTAGCGGTGAAAAGGTATATGACCATCCAGTAAATATTAGTTTCTGTTCCGTTCAATTCCGATTTCGTTTTTAACTCCTACGGTGGCCAATGTAGTCCAAGATTAACATGGCTTCCAGTTTGACCTCGTCCATGAGTGTTAACTCAGATGTAAACGCTAAAGGCGAAGCTTGAATTAACGGGTATGTCCCTCTTTGGCTAATGTACTTTCAAGATGGAGGGGCGACATGGCGACCGACCCTTACCCGTATGTATTTTCAATGGCATATTATACACTCACGAGAATACTTTATTACCTTAACGGAGTAAATATACATTAATGAGCACATATATTTCTGAAAGAACTAAGTGTTTTTAGCTAAGAATAAACTAAAAGAGTTACACAGTGTAGCTTTAAACTTACGGTTGTTTTTATCTTATTTAGGAGTGTAACGTCCCCAGTTCTCATTCAGGATCATTATTTGGAAAAGAGCAGCAAGGATATTCACCTAAAACTCTCCTTTTGTGTTCCACGAAAGAAGTCGATGACAGAATTTTATTTTTAGAGGAACTATTCCTTTAATAACATTTCTAAATATTTGCAATGGGGAAAGCTGATGAAAGCTAATGGATTGTTATTTACCCCTGCATTCATCGTGTTTTGAAGAAAGCGATGAAAACCTGAAATACGAGTGGATCTACAAGGACCTAAACTAATATTGGCATCTCAAATTTTCACTTTTGTTTGATCCTACCTTCTCATCCCTAAAATATAAGCTTTGTTCCAGGGAAATAAAACCGGCCACAGTTGCTCTGTATTGCACAATAAACAGCTGTACAGTATACAATTAAAATATGCAATATTTTAGTTTGCAGTATTTAAATTTCAAGTAAACCTTATGTAGTGTACAGTAATACCATGTAGAAGCACAGACATATACCTGCTAGCTAACTTGTATTTACTATGCAAAAAAACACTTTGCAGTTTGCATTCATTTAGTTTAAATAGCTCAATTTCAATTGTGGATGACATTGCGTGTCAGTTTCTTTTTTTAAACCCTTATTTCCCGGGAAACCAGCAATCTTTACAAGGCGAGACGAAGGCCGGGTCACTGCGATGTGCTTTATGTTCTCACATGAGCACAAACAAAACAGAAACCATGACTGTCATTTCCTTTATTACATGATAAATATCATCAGATCAACACAGTATTCAGTAATATTATGTCCACCAATGTTTATCTATGTATTATGAAATTATGATTAAATATTAATATGAATTTTGTTTGAATTTAAGTTTTGTTTATTATGATAGAGGAATTGACCTCTCCATTCATTCCCTTAATCACAATATATGTACAAATTGTACGTTTGTGCAGGTTTGCACAAGAAATATACAAAACAGCAATGTATGTTATCTATCAATGACAGCAATAAAGTTTTCATCAAAAGAAGCTATGAACAACATCAGCCTTAAAATGCTTTAATAAGTGTAAGTGCAAATAATGATCTGACTGAATGGCGTTTCAAATGTCATGCTTTAGAATAAGCTTATACATAAATAGCTAATGTGAAGCGTGTCAGTGAGTACGCCTCAGGCCAAAACCAAAGGAAGTCAGATTGTTATATTTGTGTTTGATAGTCCCTAAAACCTGCATCTAAAACACAAAAATAGACACACTACCGCTCAAAAGTTTGGGGTCAGTAAGATTTTTAAAGAAACTAATTTTATTCAGTGATGATGCATCAAACTGATCAAGTGACAGTAAAGACATTTCATTTCTGTTTAAAAAAAAAAAAAGGTTTATATTTTATCAAAGAATCCTGAAAAAAATCTATCAAGATTTCCACAAAAATATTAAGCGACACAACCGTTTTCAACTTTGATAATAATAAAAAAATGTTTCTTGAGCAACATATTGGAGTGATTTCTGAACACTAGAGTAATGATGCTGAAAATTCAGCTTTGCCATCACACGAATAAATTACATTTTAAAATATATTAAAACAGTTATTTTAAATTGTAATAATATTCACAATATTATTACTGTTTTTACTATATTTTCAATCGAATAAATCTTGCCTTAGTGAGCATAAGAGACTACTTGAAAAACAAAAAGAATCTTACAGACTCCAAACTTTGTTTACAAGCTTAACAATAAGATACTGCACAAATGCAGTCGACTTTCTATTCCAAGACTCACTGAGCTGGAAAGGAGAGCTGCTTGTTCAGTGCTTGGGGTGGTTGTGGAGGAGGGACTTTGGGTCTTCTGCCTTGGGGTTTCTTTTGTGGTCCTGCTTCAGGTAACGTGGGTAGTGGAGCTTGGGCGGTTTCGGGCTTTGGTGAAGGTGGTGGTTTTATTTCAGAGCCTCTAGGCAGAGGAACAGGGAACATTTTCGTCTGGGCTGTGGATGAAGGGCCTGCCTGGCTCACAGGAGGGCCTTTGGAGACGTTTGGTGTCTTGTGCTGGATGAACGACCTCCTCGCTGTAGAAATCAACTGAAAATGTAGTTTCTACTACAGTAATATGACACAAAAAGCTTTAATAGTTGCAGACATACGTTTGTAAGGGGTAGTGATCTTCAGCATGGGCTCCTGGGACTGGGAGGGCAGCTCCTGAGTTGGCTCTGATTGGCTGAAGTGCTTCGTCTTGGTCTGCGATTGGGTTTGGGCGTGTACCGGAGTGTAACGGGGAAGTGCTGAAGGCATGTTATTCTGTGTAGGTGGTTGAGTGATTGGATCAGAATCGTTGTTGTCCCACACAACAGTATCACGGGTCACCTGACCAGATTTAGTCACCCCAAAGTCCTCAGATGATGCTGAGCTGAAACGAGCACAGCCAAAATAAAACAAGACTTTAGTAAACGTAACTCATTTAGGAGAGAGTCTTGACCTTAGGAACTACAAAGGAGGTTCTCTACCTGTCAGTTTTTGATAGGGATGGTCGCCCAGAGGAGAGAGGGAGAGAGGGAAAGACGCTGTCAGAAAGAGATCTCTGGGACAGTGGGCTTTCAGCCAGTTCTGGGATCTCGAAATCAGCCTCTAAAAGTACATTTGATTAATTTGGAAATATTTTTATATTTGGAATTTCACAAATTATTATTGCAATTACACTCTTTCAATGATTTAAGCAACATTAAAAACATAAAACTTCCAAATTACATACAATAAATGATGAACTGGAAGCATTAACCATACCAAATAGAATAAAAAAAAAATGTTTTGGCAACCTTTTTTACTGTTTCACAGACAAGGCTTAGATTAAGCCAGGATTAGTTCAATTAGGGCACTTAAACATCTTTTATAAACATGCCTTAGAAAAAAAAAAACATTACTGATATGCATCTTGAGACAAAACAATGGCAAGGACATATTTTAACTCTTTCTCCGCCATTGACAGAAATTTCAAGAAACGTCTCACTGCAGTTTGCATTGGACATTCAACCCGACCCACACTGTGATGTCACAATCCACGCCCAAAAGAAGCATTTGGAATTTTTTTTTTAATCGCTCTTCCTCATTAAGTTTGAAACAGGAACAAGAATCCAGAAAACGTAACCCTCACACTTATTTTTTTTTTTCTCATTTACTTATATATTTCTCTTTTTATGACAGACCAAACTGAAAACCTACCTGTATGCCTAAAAAACCCTTTTAATCTGAAACATACATACTTAGACCCCCCTAAAAACCCTTATGCATGAAACCCATTCAAAACTTAGCCTTACAATTTAAAACCCTTTCAATCGGAAACCTATACAACAAATCAGTCAACAGATCTATACAACAGACGTCACACTTGGACGGGGGTGGAGTTAGATGACCAGCTAAGTCTTCACTGTTATACAGTCCCCTACTGCACTATTACATCTTCTGAAATAGTACTCAATCTCCTGATCAAAACAAACACATGCGAAGAAGCAGAAACCAGTGATAGCATATGCAGATGCATTATAGGGGTGTAACATTATATCGTGCCACATTAAATGGTGCATAGTGACCATACGTATCGTGGATAGCGACGATACGTATCGTGGATAGTGACGATACGTATCGTGCATAGTGACGATACGTGTATCGTGCATAGTGACGATACGTATCGTGGAAAGTGACGATACGTATCGTGCAGTGACGATGATCGATAGTGACGATATCGTGGATAGTGACGATACGCATCGTGGATAGTGACGATACGTATCGTGGATAGTGACGATACGTATCGTGGATAGTGACGATACGTATCGTGGATAGTGACGATACGAATCGAGGATAGTGACGATACGTATCGTGGATAGTGACGATACGTATCGTGGATAGTGACGATACGAATCGAGGATAGTGACGATACGTATCGTGGATAGTGACGATACGTATCGTGGATAGTGACGATACGAATCGTGGATAGTGACGATACGAATCGTGGATAGTGACGATACGAATCGAGGATAGTGACGATACGAATCGTGGATAGTGACGATACGAATCGTGGATAGTGACGATACGTATCGTGGATAGTGACGATACGAATCGTGGATAGTGACGATACGAATCGTGGATAGTGACGATAGGAATCGAGGATAGTGACGATACGAATCGAGGATAGTGACGATACGTATCGTGGATAGTGACGATACGAATCGAGGATAGTGACGATACGTATCGTGGATAGTGACGATACGTATCGTGGATAGTGACGATACGTATCGTGGATAGTGACGATACGTATCGTGGATAGTGACGATACGTATCGTGGATAGTGACGATACGTATCGTGGATAGTGACGATACGAATCGAGTATAGTGACGATACGTATCGTGGATAGTGACGATACGTATCGTGGATAGTTACGATACGTATCGTGGATAGTTACGATACGTATCGTGGATAGCGAGGATACGAATCGTGGATAGCGAGGATACGAATCGTGGATAGCGACGATACGTATCGTGGATAGCGACGATACGTATATCGTGGATAGCGACGATACGCATCGTGGATAGCGACGATACGTATCGTGGATAGCGACGATACGCATCGTGGATAGCGACGATGCGCATCGTGGATAGCGACGATGCGCATCGTGGATAGTGACGATACGCATCGTGGATAGTGACGATACGCATAGTGCATAGCGACGATACGCATCGTGGATAGCGACGATACGTATCGTGGATAGCGACGATACGTATCGTGGATAGCAACAATGCGTATCGTGGATAGTGACGATACGCATAGTGACGATACGCATCGTGGATAGCGACAATACGTATCCTGGATAGTTCCCCATAATAAAAATTACTGTGTGAATAAAGGGTTGTAGTGTCAGTACTACATTAAACTACTATATATAATGTTGATTATAATGTATAATAATGCAATGGGTGAATATTTGTGGGTCCTGATAATGGCAAATATCTGATGTTACCTGACATTTATTTTAAATATATCTAGTATTTTCAGCTTCAGAATCATGAATATTGTTATTCTGGTGTCACCATTGTCCTTGGGTTACAAGCACCAAGTCCAAGCCTATTCATTTAAACCCACAATGTAATGTCAAATTTAGCATTTTAAATCAACAGTACATTTTTTGTTAACCTTTTACCATATGTTTTGGAGTATCGCAATGATATCGTATCGTGTGTTCAGTATCGTGATATATCGAATGGTGACAAGTGGGTATCGTTACACCCCTAATACATTATGTAAAAGAACGCGATCATCAACAGTAAACAGCAAATTAATAAAAACTGCTAATGTTATCGAATGAAACGTCGAATGAGGTGTTGATCTACTCCATCAATGTTGTGATCATCGTTCCGAATCTGATCAGGATGTAGTTTGACAAAAACTCGTTCTCAGCTTTTTGCTCAAAATCTTTTTTAATAAAACGTACCCACATTCAAGTGTTGATAAAAAATAATGCATTGAGCTAGAATAAAACGTTTTTGTTTTAAAAAAGCAGAGTCTCTGTTTTTTCTTTTGATATATTGCATGTTCAGATATTCATACAAACCATAAAACGTTTGTGGAAATTATCTAAAATGCTAGCGGCAAAAATAACTGGCAGTTCATTTATGTTCAGTTAAAACAGCTCAAACATACATTTTAGTCGGGACTAGGCTTAAGCCTTGTCTGTGAAACTGGGGGAAAGTGAGGTGAACAATGAGTTTCTGTAATGACTTGAAATGTAATGTTTCTGTACCTTCGGGAAAGAGGTCCTGGGAATACTGTATGAGAGGCTCTATGATAGTCACAACTTGCACCGAGGAAGCAGATGCCATGTCCAGCAATGATGTCTCTCTGAAATAGGAAAAAGCAGAGGGTTATGTCAGGAGATTGAGTTGTAGATGCATAGTTGAGAAGTCCAGACTTGTGTTTGCGTGTGCTATACTGACCCCTCACAGAGAGGCCACAGTAGATTAGGCCCAAGCACTATAGCAATGTTGCTGGGTGTCATCTTATTCACTGCTCGCTGCTCTGACAAGTGTGACAAAAACTGGACAAGGTATCTGATGAAGAGAGAGAGAGATAAAGTCAAAGTTAGAACTAGAGAGTGAAAGTTAGGTGTGAACATACATCAGATATGGGAAAGTTGAAAATCTACCGTACCTTAGGTTATTGTAGTTTTCTTTGGGAAGTTTTTGCAACACTGTCCGTAGCTGCTTTAATTTTTCATCCGTTTCTTTTTCTCTAATTTTAAAAATGACAAGTCAATGAAAATGGATTTAAACTCAGTATCTGAGGTGTTTAAAAATGATTGATACAGAAAAAACAAGCCACATGTACTGACTCACCCTGCAGCTGTCATCCAGTCATTGTATAGTTCAAATGTCAAGAGCGGTTCAGGCAATTCTCTCAAGTAACACTTAAGAGCCCCTGCAAAGACAGTGCAAACAATAAAACTAAATATTTTATATGGATTAATTTTTAGCAAAAGGTTTAACTGGCACAAAATGCAAAGTAGTTTACGTTAAAGCAACATTTTCAAGTTGTTCCAAACCCACGTGACTTTCTTTGTTCCAATACAAAAGAAGTTGTTTTGCAGAATATACTTTTTTTCCTACAATGAAAGTGAATCGGCACTAAAACAGTCAAGCTTTTAAATCTTCAAATAATAATAATTTTGGTAAGATGTATTGAGGCGATTTTGACGTAAATGATGAGACACTTGATAACCCCTGATGTCAAACCTGATGAATATATGCAGACATTAAAAGTGAATGAGATTTTTTGCTATGATGACAAAGGGGAATGATTTCAATTGACTTTTAAAAATGTTCCATACAAAAAGCAATATGGCTCCAGAAGACTTTGAATATAGCACACAGATGTTTATGGTGTATTTTAGTCATTTTTTTTATGTTAAAAAAAAAAAAAAGCAGCTCGGACGATGTTAAACGTTTAACATTCCTTTTGTGTTCCGTGTAAGAAAATCATACAGGTTTGAAACCACATGTATAAATGATTACTGAAATGTTCTGAACAACGAGGAACCTAGAAACATCTGTTTTTTAATGCTGCAATTTGTCACCTCAACCACATATAGCAACCACATGGTAACACCATGCACCTTTCCCATCTTTGTCAGCTAAAGCATCAGGCAATATCTAAGCTAACAAAAATTATTCTAAGAACATTTTGCTAACGTACCCATTAAGTTAGCAAAATGCTAATGCTAACGTTCTCAGATGGGTCAAAACTATCAAAAGTGTTTAAAACGTTACATTTGAATGTTCTCTGAACCATCCATCTTTAACAAATTTGCAAACTTATGTCCAAATACAATGATTCAGAACAACAAAATATATGTGAATTCTGTGAACAATATATATAATGTTTTTGGGATAACGTATTGTTAAAGACCCCATTACTTTGATGTTAATGTTACTGGAAGAAGGTTTCATTCATAACATTGAGAGAACCTTAATGTTAGCCAAAGTTCAGGGAACTGTTAGCTAAGACTAAGCTCATAACTCAAGTTGCACATTTCAAATTAATCAAAGAATAAAATAGTTACAGTCTGTCATACAAAACACACACACACACATGTTACAGTGGCATTTTACCTGCCACAGCATGTGGGTCAGAGCTGAACTCATTTTGGTCGACTGTCCCTGAATCCAGACAGCTTTTCAGTTTTTTCATAACAGATGCAGCAGCTGCTAGTCTGAACAACCCCTAGGTGACAGTCAGAAAAATAGGTAGTGAGAAATAGTGAAGGCGTGAGTCGAAAAGCGAAACATCTACTGATGATACTGGGCATGCAGTGATGTGGGTGTGCAATTCTTTGTGTGTAGGTGCAAAGCTGCACTTGAATTACACGTCTGTGTGTGCTTACCTCTTCTCTGAGTCCTGTACGAAGCAGCATGCTCACACACTCCTCAATAGGCAAAGCAATCTTTTTCCCACAAGTCTGAAGGTGAGACAGCAGAGGCTCTCCGAAAACCTTCTTTTCTGACGATCTCACTTGGGTCTCTATATTCAAACGGACAATTACACATTTCAAAGTTGTGATAATGCTGCTGTCTATGTAATATGCTAATGTTTAGATGTTTAAATCACTGTTAAACGTAATATTCCTCCGCTCACCGGTGTTGCTGTGACTCTCTTTCAGCTCTGTTATGTTTCTCTCCAGGAATTCATGGGAGGCCTTGTGATATTCAGCTTGCAGATCTAGAAGCTGTCAGAAGGTCTCAGTTAGAGCCGTGAGAGATATATTATCTCTTATATTTTATTTCCTTATGATTAAAATTAAAATGATTGAAAACATTTCAAGGAGTCATCTCAGAACAATGAAATCTCATTAAGAAGAAAATATATAGATATGTATTTATATATAAAATCACCAAAGTAATTCAATCATTTTATTCATAGAATATTAAGAACACAAATAAATAAATAAATAACCATGACCCAATAGAGGATAAGCGGTTTGGTGAATTGATGGATAGATGGAAAGTAAAAATAATATTTAAAAATAAATAATGATAACTTTTTTTAAAGAGAGGAAGCCATTTGGTGAGTTGTTATCTCACAGTAATGACTATTTGTAGATTAAAATCTAATCACTGTAACAATTGACCTTTTTATTAATTATAATAATGATGAGTGTAATATCGAGTGTAATACAAGTTGAAAGGAACAATTCTATTTTGGTATTGATTAAAAGTGGTACTTGAGCATTACTAATGGGCCTGTGGAGGTAAGGACATAAACACTCACACGAATGAAGTAGCTGGCGTACTCATCCTCTTTAGTGGCAAAATGATAGAGGTCTGCAGAGTACTGATCCTGACAGAAAGAAAATGTATAGGGTTATTGTTTACTTTCCTGTGCATTCATTAAAAGTATTGAAGCCTGAGAAATGAACAAAAATCATATCACACATTTAACAGCTTAGCAAACCCCAAAAAGGATTGTTTAGATGATTTTTCACCATGGTTTTCTTGGCCGTTTGACAGTATAAAAAGCAGAGAGGAAATAACATCAGCAAATGATGTGAGGTAGATTTGAACAAGCTGTAAAGCAGGGAGGGATGTCAAACTCAGGCCTTGTTTTTCCTCCTGCGTTTAAAAAAAATCCTGTCCACATGAAAACGCAAAAACAAACCAGAAGGTGGCAATATAACCCTAACCGTAAAACCACATTGGCCAATCAGAAGCCTAATAAAAAGTTATTACAACGCGTTCTCATCCTAGGGACACTTTTGAAATTCCGTCTATATCCAACGCACATGGCACCCTTTAGCGTCAATATAACACGCACAGAGCTTTCTTCGGTTATGATAGGTTTAGTTCTGGGGTAGGGTTAGGGTTTGACCACTAGGAGGCGCCTTCTGGCCCATATATATCTGCGTCTCATATTGACGCTAAAGGCTGCCATGTGCGTTGGATGTAGACGAAATGTCAAAAGCATCAGTATATGACGCCTTGGGATGAGAACGGGCTGGTCATTACAGGTTCCGGTAGGCGGATAATGGTGTAGCGCGGGCGCACACTCTGACATCGCAAGGCAAAAACCCCGGTTTTACAGTCTACACAACAACACTGTAATCGCCGTTTCTGAAAATCCTCACTCTGGCAGGGGTTTTTGAGAAATGTTCGGTTTCAGTGTCCCGATACTGCGTTTCAGTGTGGACGAAAGGCCGAACCGCGTAAAAAAAGTCATGGTTATAAAAATACCTGTGTCGGTGTGGACAAGGCCTCAGTTACTGGATGGCCACTGTCCTGCAGAGTTTAGCTAGCCAACCCTAATTAAACACACCTGAACCAGCTAATCAAGGGCTGTGTCCGAAATCACCCCCTATAGGCCTTATTCAGAGCAGCGCCATGACAGGTATGAAAGTGAGGCTGTGAGGGATAGACTTACTGTGTTTCCAATGGCATCCGCTGTAAAAAGCTGAATAAAGCTCCTAGATTACTTACAATTTTCCACAGCTTACATTGTCGGGAGTTTTTTGTCAACTGACTTTTCTTTGAAAGATATTTATCCAGTGTTTCATGAGCAGAGCAATCCGAAAACACATTAAATAACAGTACAGCCCATTGAAGAGATGCAAGTCTATCCCTCACAGCCTCGTTTTCATTCTCATTGAAAATCAAAGATGGCGCTGCCGTGAGTAAGGCGTATACCCTTAAATAGGGCACTATAGAGTGCCGAAATGATGACGTCACTTTGTAGGACAACTCGGAAGCTTGCGGCGCCTTTGCGACGCCTCGGAGGCGTTTTGACCCTTACACGTTTTGTCTAGCAAGATAATCTTTACAAGTTAATCCAAAATGTATACATTTTGAAGCCTATATAAAGATTTTAAAAAACACAATCAGACACAATAAAGTTTAAAAAAAACCACAAGCAGGTTATAACTGGTGTGTTTTATGTCATAGATCAAAACGTGAAAATATTTCGAGGCTTTGTTCACCACAGACCTTATTTCAGGCGATTTAGTAAAAACCCATTCAAAAATCCTATAGGCTTTAGAGCGAGGGAACCGTAATGCTAAAATGCTAACTCACTTCCGCGTTTTGGCCTACAGAGTGACGTTGTAACTTCGGCACTCTATTTGATAGGACATTACTACTGCGCCATCTAGAGTTTCATGACTGAACTATGTTAAATTGGCCACGGTAGCGTAATAAAAAAACAAACTTTAACCATGTTTAACCTTGATAGACTCCAGTCTCTTCCAGGCCTCCTCTAGATCCTCTCTCAGACCGTCCTGCTTAGCCTGGGGGCCTGTGCTGCTCTGAGATCTAAAAGTGAGAGTGCATGTCTTCATAAAAGATGATTGCACAGAGATGAAGTTGTGATTTATGTTGATAGAGATGTTGTGGTCATGTTGATACAAATTAGAAAATCACCTGACGCGAGCGTTATTCCAGTCTGTTGTAAGTTTAGCAAACTGTTTTTTGTTTTTCAAGATCTCTGGCAGGTCCTCCTGCATAGATAACATCAGCCATGAATGGGTCATGTTTACTGTCTGTTTCAGTTTATATGGTTTAGTAGTACGAAAAAAGCTACCTCACTGAGCTTATTCAGAGGCACAAGAACTTCTTTCTCCAACTTCATCTCAAAGTCAGCCAGAGTCCGAGCCAGGAAATTTTCCATGAAGCAGCACATTTCCAGAACTTTTCTGCAGAAAGGTTAGGTGTGTTTAGACTGTAAATGGTGTATTTCCAAGGTAACTGTGCTACATAGCCATTTACTCTTAAAGGAGTAGTTCACTTTTAAAAAAAACTTTTGCTGATAATTTAAATTTACTCACCCCCATGTCATCCAAGATGTCCATGTTTTTCTTTTTTCAGTCGAAAAGAAATTTATTTTTCTTAAATTATTATTTTTCCCCATAGAATGGACTTCAATGGGAACCAAATGATTCAAGGTCCAAAAGACAGTTTCAGTGCAAACTGTTCAAAGGGCTTTAAACGATTTCAGACAATGAATAAGGGTCTTATCAAGCGAAACGATCGCTCATTAAAACAAAAAATAACAAAGTTTAAGTTTTATAAGCTCAAATGGTCGCCTTGCTCTGTTCTGTGATGCGCGTTTGTGGCTCTCCTGTTCGAACTCGTTCATCAAAATGAACAAATCTTTTTTCATGTCATTTGGTTCATTCAACGAATGAAATGAACAAGTTGACGCAGGAAAAGATTTGTTCATTTTGATGAACGAGTTCGAATAGGAGAGTCACGAACGCACATCACAGAACAGAGCAAGGCGAGCATTTCAGCTTATAAAACTTTTTTTTTTTTTTAAATGAGCGATCGTTTCACTTGATAAGACCCTTATTCATCGTCTGAAATCGTTTAAAGCCCTGAAAATTGTCTTTTGGACCTTGAACCGTTTGGTTCCCATTGAAGTCCATTATATGGAGAAAAATCCTGGAATGTTTTCATCAAAAACCTTAATTTCTTTTCGACTGAAGAAAGAATGACATGGATATTTTGGATGAAATGGGGGTGAGTAAATTATCAGCAAAAGATTTTTTTAAAAGTGCCGTTAACTCTGCCTGTAAAAAACAATTACATCAGTATCATGCTGGATATTATATCATACTCACCTCATAGAAGATTCACCATCAAAATCTTTAAAGCTCTCAGCCATACTGACGGACAGCATCATGAGGGGTAACTTTTTCTGTAAATAATGAAAAATATGAATGAGCAAAGTGAGTGAGGAAATCAGGAAGTATAGAAAGTCACGTTTTTGGATAGTTCTGCTTTTAAACTATTAGTTTAGATGGTTATCACAGGGACAAATGTAACAGTGTAATTTCAAGGCTCAAGACTAAATGCAATGGCGGAAATATGAGGGGGAAATTGAGCAAAAATCAAAGAAATGGAACAGTTTCTTCTCACTAAATCTTTTTTTACAAAGAGAATGAAAAATGAAAGCCTGCACTTCTGCACAGTTGCATCATGTTTGAAGCATATCCAAAACATTTTGTCCAGACATAATTATCTACACATAGACATAACGAAAACCTCAGAAGACTGAGTCAGGGACTCTCCATCACCCCAGGAGCAATTTGGGATTAACTTCACAAAATAGTAGGCCAAGATAGACAATTGGAAGAAATCCCACCATCATCCACTGTGATGGTGGTCTATGTAGATGATCTTCACAGCCACAGCATTTCATCATATGACCATTTTATTTGTCTCTGTGAACATTACTCACTTTTCATATACAGCAACCGCTTACTCTGCTTCAAAGTCTGCGCTAACACACTTACAAACCACATGATTGAATCGGGGGTCAGCTTACCATCCGTCTCTCTGAGTCCAGTCCCTGCTGACTCTGCAGGCAGCCTACCAACTTCTTGTGAATGATCTGGGCAGCTTTCTTGGCTGGCTCCACACGTTGTTCCACCTTAAAGCAACCAGATGGATCGTTCATTTACAGGGCCCTGTATTCAAATACTGTTAACATAGTGTGTATGAAGGCATCTCAGCAACTGTGGTTTATGTAGATTTAATAGTTAAGGTGTAATATTGGTAGAAATGCCTCACCAAAACCAGATCCTCTGTGAGAAGGTCAGTTGCATCTTGTGACCTACAAAAAAAGAAACAATTACCTCTAACATGACTTGGATAATACAGATGGCTACCGCCACAGCTGTGTTGACATTCAGACCAACAGCATGATTGCAAATGTAATATTGCTTAATTAAGCTCAATAAACAAGAAGTTAATTCTGAGTAAATTGTATTTACTTAACAAAAACAGTTCCACACCACAGTAGAACGTGAGTGAACAAATTTGCTTGACCCGCTCATAAAGACTGTTCAGTACCTGAATGAATCTATGTTTTAATTGAACTGGTTGAATTAATGATTCAATGACTGAATCATAAAAGACAGTGCTGCATATAATAGCCTACTTGCATCCTTACAATATAAATGGCAAAAAACAGTATTATCTTCCGACTCCCGGTCTGAGAAGTCTGACCTCCCAGTATTCATAAAACATTTAACAAGAATTACCCAGATGATTTGAAATTCTTAAGTTTGCATCCCATGGACAATGTACTTGACTTTACACATGACAAATGTGGTACATCTGGATTTCATTCATTATACAAACATTCATACTATATAGAACATGTTTTTTTTAACAGTCCTTGCAAAATAAGAACTTGTTCAAAAGACATACCCTCTCAGAATTTATGCAATTTTGGATGCAGCCATGGTTTTGTTCCTGGATAATTCAGTGTGTATTAATGAAACAGTTGAACAAATGATTCAACGAGTCATTTGTAACAATGTAACCTGTGCGAAGAGTCATTGAAAATGCTCACCACTAATATACCGATTGATAATGACACACACAGTGAAAAATCCTAGTGTTGTTCCCTGTATATCTACACTCTTGGAACCCATTCAAAGACCAAAACTGACTTTTGTATACACATATTTGACTCATATAAAGATATGGTTTAGATGTAATCAAAAAATATGTGTAAACTAGGTTCAGGCTTAGTATTAAAGTGCCCCTATTATACTTCTCATAGTGAGTAATATAGCTGTTTGTGAATGTAAAATATCTGCAAAGTTTTACAGATCAAAGTGCACAATAAATAAATGTATTGTCTTCCCCAATAAAAAACAAAAAAGTCTGTAATTCCACTCTCACTTTCGTGACCTGCACAACACGGTAAAACATTTGCATAATGCCCATCAATGGTCTTGATTAATAATTGATGTATATATTTTCTAATCTACAGAGTATTCAAAATCGTTCATAGTTGTTTTGAGTTTTATATTGTAAACATTGTTAGAGTGTGTACAATCGCAGAAGGTTGAGGAAGCCTCTGGAGCTGAAGTTCAGTTATGGTAATTGCCGTTTGTTTATAGGCACTGTAAGCGACAGACCAATCATAACAGACGTGGCCATCTGACCAATCAGAGCAGAGTACTCTCTCGGAAAGGAGCGTTTTAGAGAGACTGAATCTGGAGTCGTTTGAGAATCTTTGAAAAATGTGGTGATATGCAATTTATATTATGAGAAAATTAGTGTTTTTTGACCTTTCATGCATGTAAACCTGTTGAAAGAGACCTCCAAAACAAAATTAGAAAACCTTTCAAATAGCATAATAGGTGCCCTTTAAATGTATATAGAATCTATTGAATTTATACGCAAAGCAAAAGTTGCGTATAAAACAAACCATTCACCATACCCAAAGCAGCTAAACTAAAATTAGAGAGCCAAAGCCACTGTAGAAAACAGGCCACGGGTATTGGGGAAGTGGACTGAAGGTTGAAGCACAAACCCTTTTACTCTCTCTCTCTCTCTCTTTTAACCACAATCTATTGTTCAGCATGTATGAGTAGATGCATAGACTACATCATTTGTAGCCTTAAAAGTCATCACTGAGACGTGTTATTTCCTACGTATGCAATGTTTCTAAAAGCATCCAAGAACACACAAACTCGAGAAGACATTTTTGTTTCTCTGGGGAGGGGATCAGGTTTCACTGTGATTGCATCAGAAAATCATGTTAGTCTTATTTATTTGATTAAAAACATGGTAGAAACAGCAATATTGTGAAATATTATTTATACCATAATAATAACATAATTTAAAATAACAGTTTTCTATTTAATATATTTTTAAAAACGTAATTTGTTCCTGCATGTTAGTCATTCTAATATACTGATTTGGTGCTCAAGAAACATTTCTTATTATTATTGTTGAAAACAGTTGTTCTGCTCAATTGTTGTGGATTACGGGACGCATAGCCTTTATTTGAAATATAAATCTTGTAATTATAACAGTCTTTACTGTCACTTTTGATCAACAATGCATCTTTGCTGAATAAAAGTATTAATTCCTTTAAAAAAAATCTTTTGAACACTAGTGTGCATCACATATCTCAATTACAAAATAATAATCGCAGGCTTTATTCTATTATCTAGATTGTTTTGTTTCAGGACCTTGACAAGCACTTCTCACATACGTGGTAGACGGTTTCAGCTTCAAAGGTCACACAAACTGGTTTAAAAGGAAAGTATTATCTCTGCTTTGAGTCTGGGGTTAAGAAGTTTATTAATATACCGATAACGTCATATTAGGGGGCTGCAAACCTAGCATCTTGTTCTGTGCAACCTGCACTCCGCCCTCAGCAACTATGTAAAAACTGGCAACTTTATTCATGGCCTCTTTCAAAATAAGTGTCTAAGACTCTACATAATAATAAATGTAAGTTAAATATGTTCTCACAGAACATACTTTAAGTTTAAGCTGTGCACATGAGAGTGCAAATGTCACTGAAATCAAAAATCTAATATTGGTACACATTGTTTGCATGACATTTTGTTTTTGCAGTCAGCCCTAGCTATTTCCTCAGGCTTAAACAACTGAAACAATACTCAGCCTGAAATAAAGTTACCAGTCAATGAAATTGTAAACATATAAACATCAATTAATGAACAATTGGACTATTATTCGATTCATGCTTTCACCACAACAGACGATGTTAGGAGAACGTTACACCAGAAATGAGTCATGTTAGGAGAAATAAAACAGCTATCTATCATATTAATATTTTGTTTAGCTACAAAAGATAAGCAAGACTACTGAAAAAAGTCACAACTTGATCACATGTAGTGACATTCCTGTAACAGTCACACACAACACCACAAACAGTCTGAAATCAACAAATGAAAGTACTTACTTCCCCCCATTTCCAAACTGCTTTAAGATGTTAAACTGCTTCAGCATGATTGTGAAGAAACGGACGTCTTCAAATACTTGTTCCTAAGCGAAGGTCAATGGTATATTCGTTTCATTTGATAGAATATATTGCTCTCTGAACTCAGTAAACAGATATGTCATTCAGACTTGTGTCAGCAACAGCCTCAACTTGACTGTTTCACATTTGAGCACACACCTCATCGACTCGGAGAAAGAGGAAGTTACCAAATGCATAAGAGGAAAGGCAATTTCATATCGTGCTGTGAAACTCATGCAAGTCCTCTCTGGCCACAGAGAACACTGAAGTAGATTTGCACAGCCTAAAACGTTTACTTCAACCAATGTCATTTCAATTACACTGTCTGTGGTTGCCAGAAATTAACTGAAAAAAATACAGCAGCAACATTTTAGGTTTTACAGATTTAACTTAAATTTACAGTCAAACAAACATATATGACAAACTGATGGGCCTAATGTAATATATACCAACAACCATACACCAACCTATTGAAGTAGTGTCATTCACACAAATACAAAACACTATCATGTTACACACAGACACCTGACTCTAAAGTAATGCAATAAACATTCATATAACGACATTAGGTGTAACAAAACTTACCTCAGACTTTTTGAATGGTTATGCATCATGGTTTCCACAAAAACATTTTTTCAACTGATTAATCGATGAAGACATGTTTCGGGAGTACAAAATCGGCATATTAGAATGATTTCTGAAGGATCATGTGACACTGAAGAATGAAATAATAATGCTGAAAATTCAGGTTTTGTCCTTTAGAAAATGATGGATTTTTGGCCTTAGGATTTTTAGTATCGTCTAAAATCCTGGGAATGGGAAATATTTGTTTATATAAAAGGCATGTCATAACAAATAATTACCTTGGGAAACAATGCTGTTAAGACAATGAACTGAAACCAGTGGAATGTCCTAAGTAAATATGAGGGGGAGATGGAGCCTCCTACAGGGGGTGCTCTGCAACACAGATAAATACAAGATTTACTACAAATATCACTTTTGCTGTCATAGAATAAATTCATAAAAATACAACAATAACTGAAGTAATTAGTGCAAAATGTAGTTACCCTGATCATTTTTTCAAGCATACTCATACCGCATTAGATGTTTTTTCTCTCTCAGAATCATGGTCTGTCAAGGTGCTATCAATCACAGTGGTAATTCAAAGTTCTTTACAGAATAAAAAAATAGCAATCATAAAAAGTTTCATAAGAAATAAAACAGAGGAACAAATTAGATTCTACTTGGATCCTGGGGTGGAAGAGGGCCTTGAGTCCAGTCAAAGCAGGTGGCCAGGGCAGAGCGGAGCATGGGACCAGGACAGGGAGTGGCAGAGGCGGTGACCAGGGCAGAGCAGGTGGCCAGGGCAGGGAAGGACAGAGCAGGTGACCAGGGAAGGGAAGGGCAGAGCAGGTAACCAAAGCAGGGAAGGGCAGAGCAGGTGTCCAGGGCAGAGAAGAGCAGGGGGCCAGGGCAGGGAAGGGCAGAGGCGATGACCAGGTGACCAGGGCAGAGAATGTGGACAGGGTAGAACAGGTGACTAGAGCAAGGAAGGGCAGAGCAGGTGGCCAGGGCAGAGCGGAGCAGAGGGCTAGGCCAGAGCAGGTGGCCAGGGCAGGGAAGGGCAGAGGCGGTGACCAGGGTAGAGCAGGTGGCCAGGGCAGAGCAAGTGGCTAGGGCAGGGAAGGACAGAGCAGGTGACCAAAGCAGGGAAGAGCAAGGGGGCCAGGGCAGGGAAGGGCAGAGCAGGTGGCCAGGGCAGGGCAGGTGGCCAGGGCAAGGAAGGGCAGAGCAGGTGGCCAGGGCAGAGAAGGTGGCCAGGGCAAGGAAGGGCAGAGCAGGTGGCCAGGGCAGAGAAGGTGGCTAGGGCAGAGAAGGTGGCTAGGGCAGAGAAGGTGGCCAGGGCAGAGAAGGTGGCCAGGGCAAGGAAGGGCAGAGCAGGTGGCCAGGGCAGAGAAGGTGGCTAGGGCAGAGAAGGTGGCTAGGGCAGAGCAGGTGGCCAGGGCAGAGCAGGTGGCCAGGGCAGAGAATGTGGCCAGGGCAAGGAAGGGCAGAGCAGGTGATCAGGGCAAGGAAGGGCAGAGCATGTGGACAAGGCAGAGTAGGTGACCAGGGCAAGGAAGGGCAGAGCAAATGGAGAGGGAAGAGCGGAGCAAGGGGCCAGGGCAGAGCAGGTGACCAGGGCAGGAAAGGGCAGAGCAGGTGGCCAGGATGGGGCAGGTGGCCAGGACGGAGCAGGGAAGGGCAGGTGGCCAGGACGGAGCAGGGAAGGGCAGAGCAGGTGGCCTGGACAGGGCAGGGAAGGGCAAAGCAGGTGGCCAGGATGGAGCAGGGAAGGGCAGAGCAGATGGCCAGGACGGGGCAGGCAGAGCAGGGCAGAGGCAGTGCAATTGTCCAGGGCAGGGCAGGCGGGGAAGGTGGCCAGGGGAGAGCAGGTGACCACCACAGCGAAGCTGATGGAACTGATGGCCACTTTATGGAGCTGGCAGGGCAGGATCCCACCAAGGTGGTGCAGAAAATGGAGCTGAAGACCAACAAGTTGGGGCAGATGGAGCTGATGATCACCACGGTGGAGTTGGCAAAGCTAGAGACCATCACAATGGTGCCAGTGGAGAACACCATGGTGGAACTGGTGGAGCTGTTTGCTATCCCGCGGGAGGAGACCACAGGGAGTAAGAGGACCATGGCTGAGCTGCCGGAGCAGAGCCGGGAAGTACACAAAGTTTGGTGCGTTCCATTCGACCGTAAGTGGACTGCGAAGTGGACTTCACAGGGTATTTCACCATCTTAAGTGAGATTCCAATTCGAAGGGAATGAACATGTTCAGTTCAAAGGGCACTGTAAACGGCATAGGGAATAAGGGAACATCGATACATCACTTCACAGGAAGTCAGTGAAGTCCACTTCAACTGATATACCGTGTTCAGGGAGTAGGGAGCAGTGAACACTGCGTAGGGACCCTGTCGAATGGAACGCACCCATGGCCAAGACAGGGTAGACAAAGAGGTCATAGTTAGCCTCCGATGTAGTTACAGGTCAACAGGGAGCACAACACTTTCTTAATTGGCCTCTGTAGCCATAACAGAGCCCGCCCGAACACCACAATTTGTGAGTCCTGGTGTGCCGACCCTGTATTCCACCAACATGAAAACTTTAAAATGAATTTTGAGTTATAGTAATAATTCTGAATATTAATTCATAACAATGTAATGACCTGGTGTTACACGTTGAATTATTTAAATAAATAACATGGATTGACCGATCGAGCTTGAGATTTGTGACAATCCTATTGATTCACTTTAAAATGATAAATCATTTCTCAATTTTTTTTACACAGCATTAAATATTAGAGATCGATAAATATTTTCGAACACAAACGTAGTCCATCAGTGTTGCAAAAAGCAACGGTAACACATGCTGTTTAAATTGAAGCTATGAGGTCATTCACACTACTAAAAGAAACGCTTAAAATAATTTCTTGCAGATCTTATTTTCAACCTTTTGATTTTTCACAGCCTCTAAATTGAATGATCTGCTAAACTCATTTCCCTTCTACAGCTATTGTTTCTGTATCATCCCAATTTCCCAGTCTTTGGACTGGAAAAAAGTCTTCAAGCCTTCTAAATGTCTAGCTTTACCACCAATACTAGGTGGTCAAAGGTGGTTAGAATAAAGCTACCAAAAATGTACTTTTAGGTTAATAATACAAGGAGAAAACACTATTTATTTACCAATTCATTTATTTGTATACAACAAAATTTCAAATAAGGAATTCCACTCATTTCAATTTAATACCCCAAGTACACACATATTTCGGTACTGATGAATGCATTACAAACGTTAAAACACTGTAAATAATTGTGTTTAAGAGCTGAAAAAAAAAGAAGTTACACCATCAGCATTATCTAGGTAATATTGCTTTCCTTAAACAGTCAAGGCAAGTCGGGTCCCAGCAGCGGGCTAAAGCATAAACTCAAAATATTATGGGGACACACCAGTGGGTCTGGTAGTGACAAAAAACAAGGGTCCCACTTCAAGAGAAATGCAAAACCCTGAGTAAAGGGGTATTATCGAAGTTGATGTGCTGAGGTGTTGCGGAGACATGAATCAGCTCAGTCAGCAGTGCTGAAGCAGTTACATTAATACTGTCCTGTTGATAGTGCCACCTTGTTCCAAGACTATATTATTGTGTTTAAGTAATTAAAAACATTAACATTTTAAATAAGAATTGCTGCAGCATTATGACCAAGAATGTCCTGATTACACCAAATATACCCACTCATTAACCTTTAAATGACTAGAGCTGCATTGTTTGGAACTTAAACAGAATGAGGCCACAAAGGTGGACAAAATTAAAGACAGTAAATGGGCTGATGTCATTCGATGCATAAAAAGACTAAATGTCTATTTAGTGTTTGACTGTTAAACACACTACAGCATGCTTCTTCCCCATCAGAAAACATCTCACGCAAGTACACCAGCATCCCCTGCCTCACTTTGCCAGAACATCCCAATCGAACGTAATGGTGATAACATCAGAGAAATGTAGAAATTGAGTGTAAACTCCAGCAGCTTTAGAGTCCGAGCACAGTGAATATGTCAGGGGAGGGATAAAGTGAGTGAAGTTTGGTGGTTTTGAAAATTAATAATAACCCAACAAACTCCAACACCACCTCCCATTTGACTTCCTATAAATGTCCAAATGCCCCTCCAACCTTGAATAGATGGAAGGATGACAAGTATGGATACCCCTGAGCTGTTTTCTCTAAACAACTAGTCCCCTTCCCTCCCCCTTCCCTCCCCAGAAAAGCCCCGTCCTGTATGATGATGCTCGGGCTAGCGTTTCGACTTTGCCTCTTCTGCTTCTTTTTCTGAAAAGAAAAGGCAGACAAGACCATTGTCAATACTAGTTATCAAACCCAAAAATGAAACGAGTCAACAAGTCTGATTTTTGCAATAAAGTTTGGCTTTTTTCAGTTCCCAGTGACTTCCATTTTATTTTTGTCCATTCAATGGAAATCAATGGGAACCAAATTATCTTTTATGTTCTACAAGAAATGCAGAAGTGTCAAAACTTTGGGCATGGGCTGAAAGTAAACTGCATTATACCCAACTATATTATATTAAAATCTATAAATAATTTTACTAATAAATATTCATACATTTATTTATAGAATGTATTATAAATTCCTATTTATTTATACAATCTATATTTCAAAAATTAAGCAAAAAAAGTTATAACAAAAACAAATTATGAAGAGATATGCTTCAATGGTATGTTTTTTTTTTTTTTTTATATGGCATGACAGGTGATATCAAAGGTCATGATGGGCCTGGTTTCAGCAGCTCTCAACATGCACACACAACTAAACAGGAACCAATATCATTTCTTTTGTCCGTTATACAGGCTGTCATTCATTGGTTGTCAGAATACGTAATGCTACCAGCTCACCTTTCCTTAGATCTTCTCGCTTTTTTGCAGCATCCTCCCTCTGTTTTTTGATAATAGCCAGCCTGGCAAGGTCTGCCCTAGCCTGGTCTGTCTTACCCTCAAGATGCAGCTTCATGTATCGCTCCTTAGCCTTCTGCTTCTCAATCTCCTCCCTACACAGGGAAACACGATGTATATAACACAACCACTATTTATTTGACTCTTGAGGATCTCAAGTTTACTCTATCCCACATACCTTTCTCGACGCGAAAGCTCTTTAGGTGCATTGACATCTACTTCCACAATCTTCTTGCTTTTCTGGGAGATCCTGTTCGGGTTTTCGATTTCAATTATTCCTTCTACACCTTTCCTTTTAGGTTCCTTAGAGAAGAAATCAAATCATTAGTAAAAATCATTTTAATTAGAAACTTTATAAATCAGAAACACCCTCTACAGCACCATCAAATTTAAAACGGTTGCCCTATTAGAACAAATAACAATGTGTTAAAGAGAAAGTTCACTCAAAAGATGAAAAATGTCATAACCCTCATGTTGTTCAGAACCCATTAGACTTTTGTTCGTCTTCAGAAAAAAAATGAAGACATTTTAAATATTCTCTCATTATTTTTTGTCTGTCCACTGACAGCCCAACCAAAAGCATTAAAAGTACAAAAAGACATTATGTAATTAACCCATTTGAAATGAGCAGTTTAATTAAAGGCTTCCGAAGAAACACAATCACTTTATATAATGAACAGACTTATTTTACGCTTTTATTCACCTATAAAAAAACCAATGCACATATATAGAGCACATCAAAGTAGTGTTGCCATGAAACTGGACTTTCCAACTTCGTTACAATACTTTGAAAAATATCGATATTCTATAACATCTTTGATACCATGGGGAAAACTGCCATACAGATAATTTATTAACTCCTCAATTTTTTGATAATTTGGGTAATTTTGTTGTCATAGCTTATTTGAATCATTGAACTACATTAAAAAAAATACAAAAACAAATAAACAGTCAGTAATGAAATAAGAACAAATAGCAAACAATACCACAAATAAATACAATTAGCCTGGATGCCAGCCCGAACTCCGCCCACAACATTTTTTGGACGGGAAGTTCGGTCTGGACTCGATCCATTGAGGAGTAATTATGATCGGTTCAGAAATCATCGGGCCAATCAAATTGCCAGATGCTGCAGGGACGTAATCATCCGTCAAAGATGACTGCAGCATAGAAAAGACAGTGCATTCATTTTAATAGACAAACAGAGAACTGCAATCAAGGCATTTGTCGATCGGAAAGATATTTTTGGCGTCCTTCCTACATGATTCGGGAAAAGTGTAACTTATCAGCTGCCTCTGACGGTCATTAAGAAGATGGGACGTAATGAAAAGCCTGTGGTCGTTGTGGTTTCTCCTTTGGTGGCACTCATGGAGAAGTAAGTAAAAGAAGTAACACTCGTTATTTAACTTCTAAAATAAATAAATTAGGCTACGTTCTGTATTGAAAACTGCGCTATACAAAGGAGTTGACTTATGTGTTGCTCTGATTGGTTGGTAGGTCTACCGACTGTCCAATTTAGTGCAGAGGTTTTTTTTGTCCTGGTTCAGTTATGACACGCCTCATAATCAAAGACCAATGGAGCGGTATCAGACTCATATTCTTTCTTGAATATGTTCAAGTTACAAGAGTTATGCAGTAAAGAGGACCTGACTCTCTGAGGTCACAAATAATCCCAGGATGTCTTTCGAAAGAATAGGAGTGGGTAACCCCGGCATCCTGGCCAAATTTGCCCAGTGGCCTCTGTACATCATGACCACCTAATAATCCCCATATACACCAATTGGCTTCATTACTGTCTCCTCTCCACCAATAAGCTGGTGTGTGGTAGGCGTTCTGGCACAATATGGCTGCCGTCACATCATGCACACTGGTGGTGGTTGAGGAGATTCTCGCTTCTACGTAAAATGCTTTGAGTAAAGCGCTATATAAATGTAATGAATTATTATTATTACAAGTGCGTGCCCGAATCCGTGTTGCCTTCACATTCACGCGAACCGCGGCACGGTTCGGAAGCAACCGAAATCAGACCACCTCCTCCAGGTAGTCTCGGGTTCGGTACCCCAGTGCGCACCCGGGTCCCATGACAGCGTTCACGTTAGCGTGCCCTGTTCCGAACTAAACTGCCAGTGTGAAAGCCCCCGAAGTTGTACTGTATATTTCAACATACCTTCTGATGTTCATTCATGTTTATTAGAAAGAGATGATCACGTTCACTCACTGCTTAAACGGAGACACCTATATAATGATCTGTTAAGCTGCATTAAAGAGCATCAAAATGGCTTTTATTGTTTTAATTTCATGATAAAATTAACAATTTGAAAAATGACACCATTTCCAATCAAAATAAACCGTGGAGCTTACTGCGATTATTGGTGGTTAGGCTACAACACTGTATTCATCTGTACACAAAGACACAATTTATTACACACCTATTTAATATTTAATCAAATGTCAGGGAAGAAAAATGTGTTTAGTGATATAAGGTAAAGTGGGGTCAACCTGAAACAATGGGCTAGGGCTTGGCGGGGTATCAGGGGCGGGGTACAGCATGAGAATATCATTGTACCGTGGCTTGTGCATCGCGTTTTTCGTTTTGGTTTGAATACCGTTACACCCCTAATCAATACATAATGAAATATCAATATTTTTGACAAAACTACATAAAATATGGTACAATGAAGCTTAAAAGTCTTTGCGTGACTTTGACATGTGAGAAGAAACCTCATTGGTTCTTGTGCTTCAGGCTAAGATGTTTGAGCTTCTGTTTACTATATGTGATGTGGTCTATGCATGTGCTTTGGTCATGTTTATAGGTTAATAAAAACCTAAATGAAATCAGTTTATCTTATAAATCAAATGAGCCTCTCCAGGAAACTGGGACTAAACAACTAATTTCATGTGGAATTGATAATGTTTACAATACACTTGTATCTTACATGGTTTTGAAACTAAGGTAAGTAAATGAGATGATTTTCATTTTTGAGAGAACTAACGTTTACAATACACTTGTATCTTAAATGGGTTTGGAACTAAGGTGAGTAAATGAGATGATTTTCATTTTTGAGAGAACTATCCCTTTAAGTGAATTTAATTAAAACCTCATACTTCATCGTCACTGCTGCTCTCCTCCTCAGATTCTGAACTTTCACGGTCAGCCCCTTCTTTCGCCTCCTACATACAACATAAATCACATTTTCCATTTTACAAACTGATGCAGAGTAAACGTGAACTTCAGGAGTGTGGAAACTAAAAGAAAGTGGCAGAAAAAGAACTTATTCACTCACCAGTTCCCTCTGAGCTTTCATCTGCCGATCAATCTCCTCAGGGTTGCTGAACTGCTTCCCACGGCCCTTATGGCTCTTTCTGCCTGAGGTGGTGGGCAAGGTAAAATAAGTAAATAAACACATTAAAAACAATAAGAGGCGATGATACTAGATCCAGACATTTAATACCATAATTAGGCGGCGCATGAACGAGAGTCGTCAGTGAAACTGTCGACTTATCGGACAATCACATGTTACTGCACTGGTCCAATATGGCCTGAGTTTATCCTAGCGTCCATGCTTCTTTTCCCACCGTGATTTGCCCATTATAGAGAAGCTGTAGCCAGCAACAGTATCGTCAGAGGCCGTCAATTCCACATTTCCCTTTCATAAGTTTTTTTTATTTTATTTTATTGTTTTTTATGCTGGCTCTGGCGGTGTGTTGGAAAAGGTGAAACAGCGATCAGGCGGGCGCACGACACTCACCTCCTCTCGGCATCGTGGAATCACTCTGTGACGATGAAAACACTCAAAGGAAAAATGTTATATCTGGTCGTAATATTAAATGTACCCTTCAGAATTGAATAAGTTTAATATGTTCTATAAACTTCTACAAAATGGCTATTTTAAAGTTAAATATGACGCAACCTCGTCGACTCAAATTAGTACCGCTGAATGCACTATTCTGCCGCTTCCTGTGAATGACGTCAAGAGACTTCTCTCCTGATGATTGAATGTTGGGTTGGCCAATCAAAATTCAAAATGATTTTTACGACAGAGACAGTTAGCCAATGCGATATCATGTTATCTTCATATCATTCGTTGGTTATCTTTGTATTATGTTTACGCCAGTAAAATATTTATTAATATCTTTAACTAACTTTTATTTTTAGATGTTCAGCTTTCATTTTAGTTTAAGTTTTAGTCACGTGCTTTTTAGTCCTACGTTGTAAATAGGATTTCAACTTTAACCTATTTGTTTCAGTTAGTGGCCAAGGCAACATTTAAAACTTTTTTATGTTTATGTTTTTACTTTATATTAAGCCTATAATTTAAGAAAACGCTGTTTAATAGTTTTAGTCAACAATGACACCATTCTTTGTAGATTAAATTATGATTTATAAAATGTATTACGTGAATGTAAAGCACATGTTGTTCAGAATCCATTAAACTTTTGCTCATCTTCAGAAAACAATAGTTAACTATTAGTTAACAATAACAACACTGATTCTATGTAAATTCAACTGTAATTTATAAAATGTATAAGATCAATGTATAGCACATAAAACCAACATGAAATTTAAAATAGCATTTCTAAGAATGTGGGACAATATTTCTCCTATTTATTATCTTCCTGATTTCTCATTGACCCACAAAATGGGTTTTCTGATTGTTGAATTATTTTGTGTAATTTATACATAAGAGTTAGCCTAGTAATTTGGAAAACCTGAACACACTCACACACAATACAAGACACTGATTTTAATAACAAGCATAACTAAACAAAATTAATTGAACATGAATGTCCCTCTCTTCAGCTCTCTTCACTGTTTATCTTTTAGGACTGATTGCCACATCAGCTTGATGTTTCTGCTGTGAGTCTTTGTGTTTCTTTTGGTTAATAAAACAGAATGATCCGAGGGTAAGCCATATTCCAGCGGTGATCAGCTCTCCTCCAGCCATGTAAAAAATCAGTTCATAGTTCTTGTACTTGTCCACCAAATAACCTGTGGAGAAAAATACATGTAAATTATTTATTAAATTGACAAATGCATCATAAAAACTACCATTCCATTCAGTTTAATGCATGTCTTCTTCATAACTCACCAGCAGAGGGTGGTCCGATCAGCACAGCCAATGCCTCAATGAGGAGCACTAGGCCAAGTGCACTGGAAAAACTGCTTGTTCCCACAATACCCATCAGAACTTCAAATTGTAGTGCACCCACCATCCCATAAGACAGCCCAAAGAACATGCAAAATATGACTAGTCCCTTGTAGTCTGTGCTTTTAGCTGAACAAACATCTGTTAGGCCATTGAAGATCAAGGCCAGGCTGAAGAAATAAGACATCTTGGGTCGAATCCATTTTAAACCAGCCAACATGCCACATGTGGGACGAGCAAAGATGTCAACAAATCCTATAATAGACAACAAAAAGGCAGCATCACGCTCAGGCACTCCTTGGTCCTTAGCGTAGTTGACTAAGAGAATAGTTGGAACGAACAGGCCAAGGACAACTATAAATTTTGCAATGATATAAATAATAAGCCCTCTGTTCCAAAGTACACTGAAGTCCAAAAGCTTATTTTTAGTGAGCTTTTTATCAATATTGTTTTCACAAATTATATTCTCTTGTCCAGCCTCAGGAGGCAGCATTTCCTTGAGCTCTTGGGAACAAGCTATCGCTTTCCTTTCTTTACGTTTCAGGGGTCTCATCACAGCCGCACAGGTGCAACAGTTGAGCAGAAGACCGCCGGTAATGAAAAGGCCTCCTCTCCATCCATATTCGTCGAGCAGCATTTGTCCTAATGGAGAAAGAACTGACAGAAATACAGGGCTTCCAGCTGCCGCCAGTCCATTGGCAAGTGGTCTGCGTTTGTCAAAATAAGAGCCCAGCATAATCAGTGATGGTTGGAAGTTCAAAGCCAGTCCAAGACCTTTAAAGAGAAAAGGGCATTATTCATTCAAAAATGGATGCAACTGCACTGACAACTTCCATACACGTTTTTATAATGGTATTTTCGTTTATAAAACAAAGCTTTGTCTTGTGTTTCGCAATATCAATACACCCAATGTAAGATTTTTCTTTTTGGAACTATTTTTGTTGGCAATAAGTCCTTAAAGGGATACTCCACTTTTTTTGGAAATAGGCTCATTTTACAACTCCCCCAGAGTTAAACTGTTGAGTTTTACCTTTTTTGAAAAAGGTACCACTTTTAGCATAGCTTAGCATACATCATTGAAGTGCACAAGACCATTAGCATTTCTCCCAAAAAATTACCAAAGTGGTTCGATATTTTTCCTATTTAAAACTTGACTCTTCTGTAGTTACATTGTGCACTAAGGCAGACGGAAAATGTAAAGTTGCGATTTTCTAGGCTGATATGCAGGGAACTATACTCTTATTCCTGCGTAATAATCAGGAGTGCAGCAGGCACAATGACTACACAAACTTAGTCCCGGTCACGTTGGAAGCTGTTTACTATTTTCAGGAGCTGCAGTGCGTCATAACATTGCGCCTGCTGCACTCATGGTACGGCATCGAAGTTTCCTGATTATTACGCAGGAATGAGAGTATAGTTCCTAGTCATATCAGCCTAGAAAATCGCAACTTTACATTTTCCGTCTGTCTTAGTGCACGATGTAACTACAGAAGAGTCAAGTTTTAAATAGGAAAAATATTGAAACACTTTGGTCATTTTCTTTTTTAGAAATGCTAATGGTCTTGTGCACTTCAATGATGTATGCTAAGCTATGCTAAAAGTGGTACCGCCAGAACTGGAGATCGGCTGAATGGATTTTAAACGGTAAAACTCAACAGTTTAACTCTGGGGGAGTTGTAAAACGAGCCTATTTCCAAAAAAGTGGAGTATCCCTTTAAATATGTCTCTAATATTCTAATGTTAACTTTTTTTTTTTATTCAAAATGTTATAAACATCATACCTGGAGAAGAAAGAAAGTCATTCAGGTTTGGAATGAGGGTGAGTAAATAATGACAGAATTTTAATTTTTGGGTGAAATATCGCTTTAAGCAATATTGCCTATGCTGAGGTCAATGCTGAATAACTTACATTTTACAATAAGACATATTACCAGTTACGACTTTTTGCTTCACCAAAGAAAACGTTCAGATGATGTTTTGGTCATGAATTAATCAATGTATAAGAAACGAATAGGCTGAATGAATGATTCAATAACTCACTCATAAAGACACATTTAGACACTGGCGTAACTCCGTAAAATGTTGAAAGAGTCACTGAAAACTCCCCACGGAGTACCAGACCTGACTCTCTTTAGAATTATAAGTTATTGATCACAAATACCTGTGATGACTGCAGTGAGGTAAAGCTGTATAATGTTTTCAGTAAAAGATGCAATTATCATCCCTCCTGAAGCCAGTAATCCTCCAACCAACATGACTGGCCGGCATCCAAATCTATTAACCATAATGCTACAGACTGGACCTGGATTAAATGAAAATAAATATATTGACCATTAAGAAAGAAAAAAAAAGACTTGTAAATATATTAAAACTTATAATGTACATGATCTTACCTGATCCATAAAGCACTGCTAATATTATAGAAGAAATCCAGGCAGTGTCACTGTATCCACACACAAACTCTTTCATAATGGCTTTGAAATAAACACTTATAGCTTTTGGTAAGGCATACGAGAAGCCAGTGATGACAAAACATCCAAGCAGAACAATCCAGCCCCAGCCGCCATCTGGGGCACCGTCTTTCACTCTCTCATCTACAATAATCCCCATGGTGGCTCAGGCCTCCAAAAGAGAAGACAAAACTTTTTGGATATGCTTATATTGTCTGTAGAATCAAAACACTTTTTTCAGAAGGAAGCTATACGCAGTCGATGCACTACTGAACATGTGCTGGTTCACCTGCGACACATTACACAAAGGAAGGATGTAAGTATAAGCCACACATTGCCCTTCACCCCCAGGAAGTAGAGTCATAGGCCGACCTAGTCATTAAGTGACTGACATATCATATTTTGTATCATGTTTACTAATTCTTATCAAGCATCTAAATAAATTTTCCCTGTTGATTTCACAATTGTTACAATTGATTGAATCCTTACTACTCTCAAATGCCATGTCTGGTTACACCTCAGATTATAAAGTATAATATGAATATTTTAACAGGATGCACTATTTTACAACAAGACATAGTTACCACTTTTTGCTTCACCAAAGAAAACAGTTCAAATGAATCAAAACAGAATCAACCACCGAGCAACACACATGTTTTGGTCATGAATTTATCCATGTATATAAACTAATAGGTTGAATGAACGATTCAATAACTCTCTCATAAAGATACATTGATTTAGACACTGGCGTAACTATGTAAAATGTGGTACGGAGTACCAGAACTAACTGTCTTTAGAATTCCAAGTTGCATTGAATCTTTAGGATGCACTATTTGTACAATGAGGAGGGAACACATTCAGGGTGTGCATGTGGAGATATTTGTTTCCTTTAATAATGTCTTTTTTACACACTTTAGTGCATTGACATTATATGATCAGATTCAGAATGTCTGGATTTTGACATAAACACAAAGTCTGAAAGATTGCAATTGGGACAGAATTTTAAAATGCCTGTTTTAAATGTTTTCATCACAATTCCTCTTTACTGTTTTAAATGTGAATCTAGACATAGATGTCTACTATAATATGCTTTATGTACTATAAAGGCCCATTCACACCAAGGACGATAAGTTATAACTATAGAGATAGCCTTTAGATCTATATCGTTCTCAATATTAAAGAATAGCAGAGTTCACACCACAGCTATACCGATAACGTGTAGTCGGAATCACTTTCAGAGCCATTAATCGCATCCAAAATAAAAGTTTGTGTTTACATAATATATGTGGGTGCACTGTGTATAATTATTTTATTAAATACACACACATGCTTGTATCTATTTAAGAAATATTTTCATGTATATACTGTATATAGATTTATATATAATTTATATTATATATAAATATAAATATTTTATATATAAATAATATTTTTTTCTTAATTATACATGCATGTTTGTGTATTTATATATATACAAAATAATTATACACAGTGCACCCACATATATTATGTAAACACAAACTTTTATTTTGGATGTGATTAATCGCGATTAATCGTATGACAGCCCTACAGATGAACGATAAAAACAGCCAATCAAAGTCCATCCTGGTATAACGAGCTCGAGCATTTAAAGTGACCGAGAAGCAAGCGTGTATAATATATCATTACAGTTATCCTTATTGGAGTGAACTGGCCTTAACACTACAGTGTTTTGAAGAATCTCTAATTAGAGAAAAAAAGTGTAGGCATGCAAAATTTTTACAACTAGACAGTTTTGTGTAACCTCACAGAATCTTAATGCAACATCTGTATACCACAATTAATGAAACCACTAGAATGAGTAATCATAATGGAAAAGTGGATCCAGATGCTCCTCAATTACCTGGAAGATTAAAAATCTTTATAGAGATGTATAAAATATCACCTTGAGAACACTGTCTTTTTTGTCACTCGAAACACAAAACAGTGTCTTACCTGGTTTTGATACAGCAGAAAATCTCTTCAAGTAGCTGTATACCTGGCCTTCTGAATACATAAGTTATGTTCTCTTATGTTATCGAGACTGCACTGTACATTTGAATGAATTTAAAGGATAATCTGCTAAATAAACCTTCTTGGTGCACCTCCTTCCTTTTCTCAAACTTCAAACTATTAATCTGTAATACCCACAAAGTCTCTTATATGTAGGAAATGAGGTGAAATTACTGGGCAGCACAAGTGGTATTACAGTACTCTTGTTTGGTTATTTACTTGTTGACATTTTTATCCTAAAAACAACACAGAGTCAATACATCAATTTAAGTAGTTTAGTTATGTAGTGAAAACTAAATGCGATACAATAGCAAGTGTTATTTTTTTGTTTGGAAATATGGAATAGGAGTTCACAACAAAATGTTATATGAAATGTTTGTTTCGACAAGATCCACTTTAGAGAAGTTCAATTAAATAAAAGAAAAACAAGGAAATAATGCACTGTTTGGAATTAACACTGTGGCATAAAATCAGTACAAAATGTATTCATGTAAAAAGAAAAGACAAGAAGAGAAAAGAAAAGAAAAAACAACCTTAACCATGCAATACGTGCCAAACACATAAGAAATCCTCTTAAATCTGCATGTACACGTTAAAACCTTTACAGCTCTTGGCTAATCTTACTGTGGAACCAGAAAGAGTGTGATTGTTTCCTGTGATGTGAATACACATTCAGAAAGGTTTTGGGACTGTCATGTAAGAGCACATACTAAAGCCACAGGAATGAAGATATGGAATAACTGGCTAAAAAATGACAAGTACTTTTTATATAATCGGAAATCATTTAGTTGAATTCAGCAGCATGTTTCTATGACAATAGTAGTTTTTTTTAAAACACATTATAGATTTTTAAGGGCAAAATGTAAAAAAAAAATGCACAAAAAAGATGCTTATATAAAGACGATATGAAAGGAAATGTACAAAGTGTGATAAATAATCAATTATGTAAATGAAACTTATATTTAAAAACTGTCTTAGAATAGTTCTTTGAATTTTATTGGAAATTCTTTGTATACACACACACTTAAAGAGAAGAGAAAATCTCCTTTATTTCCTTCCATTATTTCTTTCTTCTACTCACATTTTCAAGTTCCTTCTGAATTAGATGTGTTTCTGCAGTTGATTCTGACAGCTAAAGAAAATATGTTAAATCACTTTGTGAGACACATTATTTATAGAATATCATTTTTTATTATTTAGATTTAGCTTCATTTTTTTGTCAAGCTGTGGTGGCTTTCAGCATTATAATCATTCAACACTCACCATGTCGAGAAGAACCTCAATCTTTAGCCTGAGCAGATTATTCTCCTCCTCTAACTGTAGATTCCTCTTCTTCAGTCGCTGTACCTCTTTTCCTGATACGTTACCTCCTGACTCTGTGATTAACATGAAGACATTCATTACATTCTTTAAACAGGCTACTAACTGGCATTGAATTAAATCGGTCTGTTTATTGCAGGAAGCCATACCTGAGATCCACTGGCCATCTTCAAATTTAAAGCTCTGGCTGCCAAGATTCATCACCGGGTATCCATATTCCAGACCTAGTTCAATCTCCCGTGTTGACCGATCCAACTGGCAAAAACATAAATGATTTGTTAATACTAGTTTATGTGAAATGCATCTTACCGACATAAACTTGTACTTACTGTATGTAGATTGGAAAGGGAAGCAGACTTCCGAGGAGGGGTTTTCTTGGGACTGAAAGTATTGCCAAACAAAGGCATTTTGAAGTAAAAAAAAGTCCAACCTGCATCAACACAAAACATATTTCAGTAACGTTACATGTTTTTATGCAAGTTTATGTAGCATTAAGCGCTGTAGCCATCACACCATGTCCAGATCAGGCTCTAATATCTTGATATCTAACTTACTGTAAATGACTCGGATAATAAAGGGAGACACGAATAGTGTTACATTTCTTTCATATCTCCTCTCTTAATGTATTCGGTATCATAATTTCTCCTTGTTTTGATAGATTGTTTACTGCTTGTATGTATCGACTTTTTCTGTTTGTTAATATTGCATTAATAATGAATAAAAATAAATAAATAAAGAGAGACACTACCATATTCGAGAGACTGTCACAATTTATTTACTGTCAGCAACAAGTAAGTTAACAGGCAAGCAGCTAATTATAAATACATATTATTCAATAGAAATTGAGCGCAACTGCTTTTGGAAAATATATATGTATTTTGAAATATATATGAAATATATGTATAACGTAAAGGGCTCACAATGCTGCTTTAGTTTCTCCTCACGATTGTTTCAACAACGATAAGACATGTGTAAACAAAAGGCTAATTCCGGGGCAGCCTAGCAACGCCGGAAGCTCAATTTTACAAGTTAAAAGTACCTACATGACCTAAAAAAATCTACATGACATTTCGAAAAGCAACAATGCATAATAATTTGACTACTTCTATAGTACATAATAAACATTCTTGAGAAGTCTTTCTAGTAAGTTATAATAATAAAAAAATATTTCTGTGATATTACTCATTTGTCCCCCATTGTAAAGTACATGATATTTAGAGCCATGTGGTGCAGTTGCATTGGCCTATGACATCTATATAAACAAACAAAGACACTGACAGATGTGCCTGATTTAAAATAACTGTCAACACAGGTAGACAGGTTTCTATTTTATTATTATTGCTATTTTTGTAAGAGCAAAATGGAGCTTTAGGTTTAACTTTATAACAATTTTGTCAAGTTTTTGTAAAGAAAGTCACAGATGCCCCCAGTGGCTGAACTAAACAAAAAAGATCCATCTCTCTGCCTTTAGGACCTCACAGTCTGGACGGTTTAGTTCAACTTGAGCGCAACTCAAGGCGCACATGCTCTGTCTGTTGATTTGGGACAGGCGAATAAATTAAAAGTATGATTTTGAAGAAATAAAAAACAAACAAACGTTTTACCTGGCATTTCAAAGGATTTATTGCTGTAACAAACAGTTTCTTGTTGAGGAGAAGATCTAAAGTCTTAGGTGGGTTGAATGTCCTCCCAGCAAGCCTCTGTTTTAGCGTGCTACTTAACGTTAGCTGATTTCTGAAATGGAGACTAGCTTTTATTTTACATTTTTATAATCTGTTTATTATCTTATCCATTGGTATTTTTAAATTATTATTATTATTAAGGTAAATAATTCTTTAAACGCTACCTCGCTGCAGCAGTTCGCTAAACGTAGCTTGCTAATTGGCTAACGTTACAAGGAGCATTTTAAATAGATTTTTATACTACACGGCGCTGAAAATGTCAGTTAGAATTTATTTACAAAATATTAAACTCTAGAAATATGTTTGAGATGTTTGTTGGGACTGTTTTGTGCCGGGATAAACAACTAGTCATTGATATTAATTGGTGTAAACAAACCTGAAGTTGACAGCATTAGCGGGCTAGCCGAGTGCAAGCTAGCATTAAAGCTAATGTTAACCCGAAGCCTATGCACGTTAACTTTTATCATTAGTGTGTTGCACTGACAGTTCCTTTACACGTTAAGTCTGTAAAAATGTTATAACCCAGATTATATTGAGGAGTGTTTCAAGTATCGTGGAAGGATTGCTGGTAGTTGTTTTTGATTTCGGAGAGAGTTGCATTAGTGGGTGTTGTTCTAAGGCGAGCTCGGGGATGTGCTCTCACTTGCTGATCTCACATTTTAGGCCTTAGACATTATATTTCTGTAATACTCACTGTTTATGCTTATAATTATGTTTTAGTTGCCACCATTGTTTGTTCATTTTGTAATCTTTAGTCTTTTTATGACTAATTACTCCCACTACATTTTTTTTTTCACGCCAATATTATTCACTTGCTAGTTGAAATGTTTTCACGTAACATTTTGTGTTGTTTGGCTCTATAAAAGCACATCGTAATTGTATGTTTTGCCCCTACAAAACGTGCTTATTCATAACTTTAGTTGTTTTTTTCTTTCTCATTATGGTGTTCTGTTTGTGATGGATTACAGCTATGGATCTAGATCGACAGAAGCGTAAGGAAGAAATACAGAAAGCTTTGGGATTCATTCAGTAAGTTTGTAGATTTCTGTGCTGCTTTTCCAATCTGCTCTGTGGATGTTTAACATTCCAAAATTGCTAAATGTATTTCTCTCTTTCCCACAGGTCATCTTTGCCTTTCCCAGAACCTGAAGGATATGAGGTATGATTTATGTGTAATATCTCTGGGGGGGGGAAACACCCCACCTAGATAATCCTTGTTTATTGAATTGTATTATCTTAATTTAAATGGAAAGTCTCTTCCTTTCTTCCGCAGGCATTCCTGACTCAGCTAGTATGTAATTTGCTGGATGAAGGTAATGCAGTGTATCGTGATGGAGAGTGGAGACAGGCATCAGTCCATTACGGCGAGGGTGTGAATGTAGCTCGCTATGCTCAGTCTGAAGCACTGGTCATTCCCCCTGAGCTGTTGGAGAGCCTTTATGTGAACCGGGCAGCTGCACATTATAGTCTTGTAAGTCTATACTATTTTGATTGGACAATTGGTTAACATTTAAATCTGTCATTGTAAGCTGAGGATTTGAAGGAGTTCAGCAGTGTTGGGAAAGTTCCCTTTTGTACATGAACTAGTTCAAAGTTCAGTTCACATTTTAAAATGAACTAGGTCATTCATAGTTATTTTTTTGCCATATTCTGTGAGCTTTTTTAAAATTATTATTGCCACAGCCCATATACAACCACAGACAACAATTATTTTAATCGACGGGCAGTTTGCACAGAAATGTACGATTTTTCCCATCCTCACCGACCTCGTCATAAAATCTGTTTAAATGATCATACGACGCCTCCTCGCTCACTGCTCGTGCGTTCACAGACACCAGAATGAACGCGTTCTCACAGTAACGTTCATCAGGCAGTAATACAGTACGTTCAGTTCATATTCGCCCAAAATATGAACGCGTTCTGGCACAACACTGGAGTTCAGTATGTGCAAATTATCATGTAGTACTCCAACTGTAAGTGTTGCATCAAACGTCTCTTGTCTTTTATGTTTAGGGGGAGTACGAGCGTGGAGTGCAGGACTGTGATAGTGCACTGTGTGTGTCGGAGGGCAGTCGCAGAGCACTCTACAGGAAGGCACTATGTCTGAGGGAGCTGGGCCGACTCAGAGAGGCTTATGAGTGTGGCACTGGATGCCTATTAACTGCCCCTCACGTATGTATTCATATGCAGCAGCAATGGAACATTAATCTGCAGTTTATATTTTTATACACTACCGTGTAAAAGTTTGGGGTCAGAACAATAAAAAAAACATTCAGCAAGGATGCGTTAAATTGCTCAACAGTGACAGTAAAGATGTTTAGAATGTTACATAATATTTCAAATAAATGCTATAGAACTTTAAGCCACTGAAGGGTCTTTTTTTTCTAAAGTAAAATACTTTCGGAGGAGGATGCTTGCTGTTTGGGAACACAGTCGTGTAAGACAGTTCTGGGAGGTAATTATACCGAACCAGTTTGGCTAAGGCATTTCAGAATGACCAAAGGAACATTTTAGATGCCGTGCAGCGAGATTGGTGACTTTTTTTTTTTGATCGATGTCGAGGTTTTGTTATATGTTTTCATCATAGTTTCTGCGCATGTTTTTAGGATTCATATTAAAGTAGTGGATGGAAACATAGCTTCTGAAGACCAAAACATTAATGTCTTACTTACTGACCCCAAACTTTTGAATATTAGTCTATGTAATTTTATTTAATAATATATGTATTTTGAAATGTTTATGCCTTATGTTGCCGATTCATGTAATTATCTAACAAAACAGTGTTTGCTTGCTTTATTTTACACAGGACAGGCAAGTCAGTGAGCTTGCTCAGGATCTAGCTAACAAACTTGGTTTGAAAATCCGCAAAGCCTACGTCAGCCCTCAGGTTTGTCTTTTAGATTAAATGATGAATGTTTAAAATGTTGATCGTATGCTTATTATATAATTATACTTGTCATAACATGACACTTTTTAATTTTAGCTTGATTCTACAACATCTGGGGGAGACAGCAATGGAGAAACTAATTCTCATACAGGGGAGGCAAGTTTAAAAAAAAACAGACCTTCCCTTTTTTGGTCAATAAATTAATTAAAATTGGTTTATAAAATAAAAGCTAGTTTGTAAAACGAGAATGCATGGTTTGAATTAAATTTACAAACCTTCTTGCTCTTTCTTTTCAGACCTCCTCAAATGGTCTTGAGTCTTTGACTGATATTGGATCAGGTAGTTTTTTATATATAACATACAAACATACATATATGATCATTCCATGTCAACTCAATCAGAGGTCCCCAGCTGATGATTTTGATTTATATTTCTTTCTCTTGATAGAAAAAACAAGTTTCAACACGATTTGTTCTTCAGATATTCCTCTTTGAAAGAAAACAATATCTATGGTCATGGAATGTGATCCACATTTGGTTTTTAACCACTGAAAATGTGTACAATTTTACTCATGGAGTCATGTTGAAATCCCAACATCTTTGGAAATTAACCAAGTAGGGTCTTAATAAATAAGATATCAAAAGAAAAGGAACATTCCTCATTTTTGAACTTTCACTGTTGGCATATAATGCAACAAAGATGGCTAAAGTCAACCATATTTTACTAATAGATCTATCAATCTTAGTGTAAAAATAAAGCCATGATGCTGCCATCTTTCTAAAGTAATTTTTACCCCCTGTAATTGGGCTCCAAATCTCAGGTAAAAATGGTAATTTTGACCCCCCCTCTACAAAATAGTGGATTATCCTTGTAGACACACATCATGACATGTAATATTTTGGCTCTAATCACTATTTATGTTTGTCTATCTTCCAGAAAAATATTAACAAAACCAAAAATTTGAGCCGGGGAAGTTTCTGAAATCTGGTTGATTTTCATGGAATGTCCCTGTCGCATTTAATATTTCAGTTAAAATATATTACTTTATGAGTATAATCTTTCAGCATATATAAATAGGTGAGTCAGTTTATTCATCTGATTTTTCCACAGACTTAACAAGTGCCCAATGCATCCCTGCCCCTCTGGCCACACCAATCCCAGTCAGTGATGACCCACAGATTCCCTCACAGAACCCAGTTTTGCCCCAAGATATGCCAGAAAGCCCAAGCCAGGAGCCGTCGGGGCGGGTGCCATACTCTGTGCCTGTATCTGAACACATGGGTGAATGTGTGATGAATGAGGACACCTCGTGTCTGGACTCATTGCTGGAAAGTATTCCCAAAGGAGCTGAGGTCAGCGTGGTGAGTGTAATGGAGAGCTGCAGGGAGGGACAGTTGGACATTGTCACTCGATACTGGATTGATCACTGTAAAAGGAC